ACGGTCACACAACTAATAAGTTTCTTTCTTTTTTTGAATTTTTAACATATATTTTTTAAACTTTGGGTTACGAATTTTCTCCCTTCCTCCCTCCCCACCCATCCTCATTGAAAAGGCAAGCATCTCGATACCGGTTATAGCTGTGTAGTCATGTAAAACACTTCCATTGTAGTCCTGTTGTGAAAAACTAAGTATATTTCCCTTCATCCTATCCTACCCCTTATTTATTTTATTCTCTCTTTTGACCCTGTCCCTCCTCAGAAGTGTTTGCTTTTAATTATCCCCTCTCCCAATCTGCCCTCCCCTCTACCAACCCCCTGCTCTCTTGTCCCCTTCCACCCTTATTTTCCTGTAGGATAAAATAGATTTCCATACCCCACTGTGTATATTATTCCCTCCTTAAGCCAAATCCTATGAGGATAAGATTTACTCATTCCCTCTCAACTTCCCCCATTTACCCTCCACTGTAAAAGCCTTTTCTTGTCTGTTTCATGTGAGATAATTTACCCCATTCTACTTCTCCCTTTCCCCTTCTCCCAGTATAATCCTCTCTCACTCCTTAATTTTATTTTCCAGATATGACCCCTTCATCTTCAACTCACCCTGTGCCCTCTATCTATCTATGTATATATACCTATACTGACAAAGTACTCAGGAGTTATAAATATAATCTTTCCCTGCAGGAATGTAAACAGTTCAACCTTAATAAGTCTCTTATGATTTCTCTTTCCCGTTTACCTCTTCCATGTTTCACTTGAGTCTTTTTTTGAAAGTCAAATTTTATATTCAGCTCTGGTCTTCCTCAGGAATGCTTGAAAGTCCCCTATTTCATTGAATGACCATTTTTCACCCTGAAGGATTATACTCAGTTTTGCTGGGTAGGTGATTCTTGGTTGTAGTCCTATCTCCTTTACCCTCCAGAACATCATACTCCATGCCCTCTGGTCCCTTTATGTAGAAGCTGCTAAATCTTGTATTATCCTGATTGTGTTTTCACAATACTTGAATTGATTCTTTCTGGCTGCTTGCAATATTTTCTCCTTGACCTGGGAATTCTGGAATTTGGCTACAATATTCCTAGGAGTTTTCCTTTGGGGATCTCTTTCAGGAGGTGATCAGTGGATTCTCTCAATTTCTATTTTGCCCTCCAGTTCTAAAATATCAAACCAATAAGTTTCATAGGCAGGATTTGAAACTAGGTCCCTTGACTCCAGAGTGAGAGGTCTTTCCAACGTGCTATGACAATATCCCTAAGGGGCAGCTAGGTGGCGCAGTGGATAGAGCACCGGCCCTGGATTCAGGAGGACCCGAGTTCAAATGTGGCCTCAGACACATAACACTTACTAGCTGTGTGACTCTGGGCAAGTCACTTAACCCCGTTGCCTAGACAAAAAAAAAACAAAAACAAAAAACAAACAGACAATATCCGTAAGCTTCAGTTGTTTCTTTATTTTTTAAATGAGAGAATTGAACATGGTAAGTCAATAAATCAACAAGCATTTATTAAGTGCATGCCTGAGCTAAATGACCTGTAAGGCGTTTTCCAGTTCTAACATTCTTTTTAAAAAAAGCATAACCAAGGATCTAAGACAACTCCAAAAGACTCACAATGGAAAACACTATCCACATCCAGAAAAAGAACTATGGAGTCTGATGCAGAGCAAAGCCTACTGTTTGTTCTCTCTTTTTCTTTTCTTCTTTCTTGTAGTTCCTCCCATTGGTTCTAATTCTTCTTTACAACATGACTAATGCGAAAATATGTTTAATACCAATGCAAATGTAGAACCTATATCAGATTGTGTGCCATCTTGGGGAGGGGGAGGGAAGAGAGGGGGAGAAAATTTAGAACTCAAAATCTTATGGAAGTGAATGTTGAAAACTAAAAATAAATTAATTAATTTAAAAGCATAACCAAGGGTCCAGACCTTTGCTAGTTGAATGACTCCTCTGCTAAACTCTGCCTTCCTCCATGATCCTTCCCTCTGCTGGCCTGATGTTCATGAGGCTGGCGTTCTAGACTATAGAGGGAGTGGGTAAATGAAGGTAGAATGTTGTCAGGAAAAGACACTTGTTGGAAGGCAGGGGATAGTCAGAAGGGGACCTAGGTAGAAGGAGAGTGGTCAGATGAAGCTGAGGACTCCTGGCTGTAGTTTGGGGTGCATCTGTCCTGCTGGGTGTATCTCAGAATCAAATCTGTTTTTGTGACTGTCTGTGTAGAGGGTGGTAATGTGGTATAGGGGTGGAGGCAGGAACAGGAGCAGGGCTTCAGGGAGGGTTAGGGAGGAGGATGAGGCAGGGAACCAGGAGTGGGGCTGCTCTTGCAGCTGTCCCCTGGGTATGATGATGGGGCAGGTCACTAGCAGATGGACAGTGATTCAGAAAGACAGCAAGTAGCAGAGAAGGAAATTTCTCAAGGCTCTTATCTGTCACTAGTCCATCATGATCAAAGCAAAGAAGGGTTACCTAGCTTGTTTTTGTGATTTCTTATTCTCCTTTACTGGCTTCCTTGCTCTTTCTCAAACAGGACACTCCATCAACCAACTCGATGAATTTTCACTGGATGTCTTCTGTGTCCTGATGTCTACCTCCTGAATTCCCTGGATTCCTTAAAGTTGGCTAGAATCCCACTTCTACAAGAAGGCTTTCCCAGACCTCCTTAATGCTCATGCCTTCCCTCTGATTTATCATCTCTCTCTCTCTCTCTCTCTCCATTCATCTATCTAGATATAGTTTGTACTTGTTTGTATGTTGTCTTCCCCAGTAGAATGTGAGTTCCTTAAGGGTATGGACTGTCTTGCATTCTTTGTAAACCCAGTGCTTAGCACGGTGCCTGGCACTGTATGTAGCAGGCACTTAATAAATGCTTCTTGACTGGACTTGACAGCATCTTTAAAGTTCACTGGAGCTTTACTTTCTCTTGGATACAAATGGCAGGTGTTGGTGGGAAGAGTACACAAACCTATTGAATCCCACTGGAAATGTCCTCAGTTTCTCTCTGAAAAATGAAGATGAAAAATTCTAGCCTCTCAGTCTTGCCCACTCCCTCATACCTTCCAGTCAGCCCTTTTTCTATTTGGGGGCAGTTCAAGCATTTCCTGAGCCTTGCCTCAAGGGTTCTCCAAGTGTTCCAGACCTAAAGCCTTTGGGTAGTGTAAGTTCTGGGAACCACGGACATCATCTTGCTCTTCCTCCCTTTGGAGGCTCAAGGGAATGCCCAGACGACTCCAGCCCAGGCTGGTGCCACTGATTGGCCAACTGTAGAACAAGCTCTAATTGGAGACAATACTTTGATTCAACTCAAGGTTCCTCTGAGTTTCCCAGAGAAACTGTGGCAGGGAGGGTCAAGTTGGCTTTGTGAAAAAAAGTTGGGGAGGGGGCAGCTGCTACAAGCTGGAGCTGTGGCCTCTCTCTGGAAATGATTTCTCTTTTAGCTTTTGGTCTCCCTCTTACCCTCATCCCCCGCCTCTGCTCCCCTTACCCGGCCTCTTCTGCCCGCTGCATGACTCACCTTGGCACAGATACAATGGCTACAGGGTGGGCACAAAGCCCACTGCCTCCTGCTCATCAGCCCGACTACACTTCTTTCCGAGAAGCCCATTGAGCTGAGAGCTTGGGCAGCACCCTGGTTTGGCAGTCTTGCATCCCTGGGATAAAAGCAGCTTTGCCTCCTGGGGGGAATGACATTTTTCTCCTCCCAAACCCCTCAGAACAAGAATCCTTTCAGCAAGTGCCCAGGAAAGTAGAAATCAGCAGCCTGAGAATAATTGGGACAGGGTGGGAGGGGATGCCTATCTCACAGAAGCTCAGGGAGATTGGAACTTGAATTCTATGTTATCGAAGCAAGAACACTAAGGTCTGGAGGCAGGACAGGAGCCAGGAGTCCCAAGGCAGGGGAGAGGACCCAGGCATCAGAACTCCCAGTCCAAAGTTTACCTGGAGGGGTAACTTGTTCCCAAAGTTCTCCTCCTCCCCATCCCCTTATTTCCCAGAGTACCAGTCCCTAGCTCTTCTGCCTGGGAACCTAGAGGATCTGATGTGTGGGAACTCAGGGGCTATAAATCTTTGGTGAGATATTGGTGGGGGAAGGGAGAGGATGGAGTTGGGGAAGGGACCCTGGGAACTCTCCCTGGGAGACAGCTCAGCACAGTACAGCCTCCCCGGCCATCTGTAATGGCTTTGTGGAGCTGTCCAGTCCTGGGCCCTGGTGAGAGGCCCAGTCAGAGGTGACTTATGGACCAAGGCAGGGTGGCATGGTTGGGAAGGCCAGGGGAGTCCTATGCCCTCCTCTGGCTCCTCCTTGAACAACCTCCCCCACCTCTCCCACCTGCCAAAGTCATTCCTTTCCCTTTCTACCAAGAAGGAAGACCAGGTCCCAAGATCATGAGATAATGGAAAGAATGCCAGAACAGAAGTCAAGAGGGCCTGAGTTTTAGCCCTATTTTTGTCACTAACTACCTGAGTAAACTTTGACATAACTGAGGACCTCTCTGGATCTGTTTCCTCTTTGCTAAAGTGAGAGGGTTGGATTAAAAAGTCTTGAAGGTCCCTTCCTGTTTTGAGATTTTAGGAGCCAGGTTTCCAGACTGATAGGTCCTGGCCAAGCTCCAGGTCCAAAGCTCTTGGTGTGGAGGGAAATGGGTAGAAGGAGAGTCTTGGGGAATGGCAGTATCCTGGCCTCTGCTTAGAAAAGGGAATGCCCTCAAGAAGCCCTGTGTTTGCAGTGAGAAGGACTATGAAGTGTGTCACAGTAGAACAATTTATTCCAATTCCCTGAAAAATACAAAGGCCAGCAAAAAGACCTTCTTTCTGTCTCTGTCTTCCCTTCAGCAGACTAATGAGATGGAGAGGGGGGAGTGGGAGAAGAGGGCTCCTCCCCCAGGGGGCCTTTGGTCAGCGCCTCATCCCTTTCCAAGGGACAGTGCCAAAGTAAACATGGGCAGTGCCAAACACCAACAGCTCAGGGTAGTGGAGCTGGGTGTGCCTTTCTATAAAGCCCCCTTGGGGCCCCCTGCTCCAGCCAGAACCAGGGCCAAGATGGACAGACGGCGCTTCACCTCCTCTGCCCGCCGCTCCTATGCCTCTGAGGTTGTGGTACGCTTCCCGGGCGCCCGCCGCCTGGCTCCAGTTGTCCGGCTGTCCCCAAGCAAAATGCCACCTCCAGTTCCTACCCGAGTTGACTTCTCAGTGGCTGAGGCACTCAATGCCAGCTTCAAAGAAACACGGTCCAGTGAACGGGCTGAGATGATGGAGCTCAATGACCGCTTTGCCAGCTACATCGAGAAGGTTCGTTTTCTGGAGCAACAGAACAAAGTTCTGGCAGGGGAGCTCAACCAGCTTCGGGGCAAAGAGCCCACCAAGCTTGCCGATGTCTACCAGGCTGAGTTGCATCGGCTCCGGTTTCAGCTGGACCAGCTGACTGCAAGCAGTGCCCGGCTAGAGATCGAGAGGGATAACCTGGCTGAAGATCTGGCCACCCTGAGACAGAAGTGAGTAGGTGGTTGTCCTAAGGAAAAAGGGAGAGGACAGGGTGCAGTGTGACTTTGAATAGGTTGGTTGACCTCTCTGGAGCAAGGGGCTGGGTATCCTGGGTCAGGTCAGAACCTCTCCGGGCTTCAATTTCCTCATCAGCAAAATGAAGGGGTCGGATTGGGTGATTTCTGAGGTCCCTTCTCAATCTAAATCTATGATGTTATGGGTCTGTTTCTCCAACTTAATAAGAGTGGTCCCTGCTTCCTGGGTCTGCCATGAGGCTGGGGAAAATGAGAAGAAATGAAGCTAGAAAAGGTAGGGGAAATAGATCTCAGGGCCAAATATGGAAGCCACCAAAGTTTCTCATTCTGTTTTTTCCCTCTGATTCTTGGAGCAGTGGCTCCTTCTGGAGGAGAAGTATGGGACAAGTGCCAGGGTGCCCAAGCTCTGGTGACTTTTGCCTGACTGGGTTACTCTGGGCATCTTGCTTGACCCCTCTGGGACTCAGGACTGTATAAACATCAAGGAGGGAGAAAGGGCTGTGAGTGTCAGAGAGGATGAGAAAGTTAGATCCCGGGTGTATATGAAACTGCAATTCATACTCTTTAGACTCTGGCTTTGGGGGCCTATTAGTCACTCAGTTCATTAGTCCACTCATCCCACAGACTGTGAGCCTCTCACCCCTGTGAGCAGAGTCTCCTGTGCTGAGCCCACAGGGGAGATACACACACCCCTGCAGGGGAGCTACCAATCTGACCAGATACATAGGAGGCACATTCAAAACAGAGACAAGGAGGGACTCTTGGGTAGAGCTGTGAGCATCAGTGCTAAGGGAATGCATGGGGAATGGGAGGAAGCCGGGAAGGCAGGTGGGAAGAATTAAGGAAGGCATCCCGGAGATGAGGAGGAGTCTTGAACAGGGCTGGGGGAGGAAGGAAGGGAGAAGGCTAAAGAGTGAGGCTAGAGTGGGCTGCCAGGATGGGTGTGAGACTACTGTCCACATTATTCTTCATGGTTACCTCTAAGAATTTGGAGGCCCTTTAAGTTATTCAAATTCATCAATTTATCCGTACTACAGACTGACTATCCCCTGTGGGCAGGGCCTTGTTCTGAGTAAGCATGGAGGGGAGATACGTGCATCACCAGGGATTACCTGGATTGGAAAATAGAAGCTGGAAAGTCCAGAGAATGAGTAGGGATAAGGCGTCAGTCTAAAGAGGCCTTGACAGTCTGAGCAGTACAGTAGGGCCAGGCTGACATCCAGATTTACAGATGAATTCCTCACTCTGGGGCCATGTGGACAATCTGCTCACATGCTCTAAATAAGCATGTTCTCAGGGAGCCGGTGGCGCCCAGGGTTGAATGGGCAATAGAAAGAAACCCCACAGAGAAACTTCTGGGTTATTGGTGGGGGCCGGAAGGAAAGAGGAGGGGAGGGAATACTTTATATGTGTGCATATCATTGTGTAGAGAGATGTAGATGGGTTAGTGGAATAATGTGAGCATATAATCCATTAACTAGCTGCATGACTTTGGGCAGGTCACTCCCCCAACTCTGGACCTCCATTTTCTAGTCTGTCAAATGAGGGAGTGGGAACCAGGTGATGGCTGGGGTCCCTTTTGGCCCCAAGAACTTATGACTAGGATTCTATCTGATGTGTGTTTGTGGGAGCACATGAACAGTGTTGGGGCCAAAGGTTTTGTCCTCCCCTTAACTTACCCTTTTTCCCAGAGGACTGTTGTGACCCTTCTCTCTGTAGCCTTCAAATGGGCAATTTAAGGCCACTATGTAGCATAGTGGGTGGAGTGCTGGACCTGGACACTTCCTAGTTGTGTGACCCTGGGCAAGTCACTTAACCTCTAATTTGCCTCGATTTCCTCTACTATAAAAATAAGGATGATAATAATAGCACCCACTTCACAGGGTTTTTTGTGAGGATCAAATGAGATCGTATTTGTAAAAAGCACCTGGTACATAGTAGGTGCTGTATAAACGCTTATTCTCTTCCCTCCAGGCTCCAGGATGAAACCAACCTCCGGCAGGAGGCAGAGAACAACCTAACAGCTTATAGACAGGTCAGGGGATTTGGAGGGACTGGAGGGAATCCGGGTAAAAGGTGGTGGTATCCCCTAAGCCTGCCCCTTGTCTCTGCCCCACCCCCTGTTTTTGCCTTTGTCTCTCCCTAATCCATCATCCTTAAGTTCTGCCTTCTTTTCCTGTGCCTGGCTTATCTCCGGTCCCTCTTTTGTCCCTGTTCTACTCATTTTCTGTTCTATTCCTTGAAGAGCCTTGTCCCTGAAGAACAGAAGCTGGGTAAGAACTGGGATGAAGAGAATGTATGTATGTGTATGTGTCTGGTGGGATGGCAGTGGGGAAGGGGGGAAGGGAATGATGTCCTGGGGTCAGATCCAGACCTTCTCCTCTTCCTGCTGCAGGAGGCTGATGAAGCTGCTCTGGCCCGCCTGGATCTGGAACGGAAGGTTGAGTCTCTGCAGGAAGAGATCCGCTTTCTCAGGAAGATTCATGAAGAAGTGAGAAAACCAGGATGTACCAGGATTTCCCTTCTCCTTGTATTCCCTTGGCCCCAAAAAACACGCAGGCACACGCTGGACAGTTACACGCACACAAATACCCAGTGCTTATCACAGCCATAAGCAATCTGCTTCCTCCTCCTCTCTGTGTCTCACAAACACACACATACACAATCTCTCTTTATCTCTGTATCTCCTTCTTTGTTTCTGTCTCTGTGTCTGTCTTCTCTGCTCCCCCTTCCATCTATCTCTCATGTATTCTCTCTCTCTCTCTCTCTCTCTCTCTCTCTCCTCTTCCCCCATCTTCTCCTTTTCCCTCCCCCTGTCTCTCATACACCCATTTTTCTGTATTTGTCTCTGTTTCTCTGTCTTTCTCTCCTCCTCTGACCCTCTCCCTCTCCCTTCATCTCTTTTTCACACACACACACACACACACACACACACACACACACACACACACACAGAATTTCCTCCACGTACACAGTCACCCCCTGAACCCTCACCCCTCACCTCCCCTGCCAGCTAGCTTTCCATGTTGGTGCCAGCCTCGCCCAATTGCCCAGAGTCTCTACCCCCAGGCAAGAGACAGAAGGACAAGAGAGGGGCCATTCCATGGATGTATATACTCAGGACACTTAGATTCCTTCCTGCTCTGACTAGGGCCATGATTAGCTCTTGTCCCTATTTCCCTAACTTGTATCCAGGCCCCTTTGCTTATCATCTCTGACCCCTCAGTCTCTGGGAAGGGAAGAGGAGGGACTGGTGATGTGGAGGGCAAAGGCAGTACCCAGTCCTCCAACCTCTCCACTTCCACACCCAGGAGCTTCGAGAGCTACAGGAACAACTTTCCCAGCATCAGGTCCACGTGGAACTTGACGTGGCCAAGCCAGACCTCACTGCTGCCCTGCGTGAGATCAGAACCCAGTACGAGGCTGTGGCCTCCAGTAACATGCAGGAGACTGAGGAGTGGTACCGGTCCAAGGCAGGCCTGCCCTTTCAAACCCTTCCTTCTGAGCCCTAGGTGCCCTAGCCCTGCCCTGTGGGTACATTTCCCTCCGTCTCCTTCCCAACAACAACATCACTTTGCTCTGGTTCTACATTTGTAAGACACCTTGTTCTTTTCATGCTTAACATCTATTACTTCCCTTCCCAGTATCTGTTTGCTCCTCTGGGAAAGAAAGGGCGTGGCAGGAGATGGAGGAAAGAGAATCAATGAGCTTGGGTGGAAATGGGAGGGTAGTTATATGCTAGCGTGTCTAGGATTAATGGAATTTTGGGAGGGCACTGAGGAAGGAATCCCCCACTGGACACATGCCTCTCTCCTCCATACTCTTCCCTGGGCCTGAATCTTTTCCCTCCCCCACTCCCCCCCCAATGCCAGCCCCAGAATTTATCTACCCCACGACCACTGATTGTCTTTCCTCCATCCCCTCCAGTTTGCAGACTTGACAGATGCTGCCGCCCGGAACGTGGAGTTGCTACGCCAGGCCAAGCACGAGGCCAACGAATACCGTCGACAGCTGCAGTCACTGACCTGTGACCTGGAGTCCCTCCGCGGCACTGTAAGCAAGAGAAGAGGGAAGGATCCCACTATGGGCAAATGGGGGCGCACAGGCATGGACCAAGACAACGAATCCCTGTGCTTACTCCCGAGGGGCTGGGCTGAGGGTGCTCAGGGTATGGTGCCATGGGGCGGTACCCAAGGGTGGTGTCCCAGGATGGATCCCATAAAGACATGAGCCGTGGGGTTTGTTTGGGAAGAACGAATCCCTGGAGAGGCAGATGCGGGAGCTGGAGGAGCGGCATGCCAGGGAGGCAGCTGGCTACCAGGAAGCACTGGTGAGGCTGGAGGAGGATGGGCAGAGCCTCAAGGATGAGATGGCCCGGCACCTGCAGGAGTACCAGGAGCTGCTCAATGTCAAGTTGGCCCTAGACATTGAAATTGCCACTTACAGGAAGCTGCTGGAAGGGGAAGAAAGCCGGTAAGCTTTAGTCACCAATGCTAATTGGGACTTCCACACTCTGGACCCTGACTAGGAGGTCCTATCCTCAGAACTCCAAATAGCCATTTTGGTATCCGAGGCCAGCAGCACAAAATTCTCCATGGCAAGTGATGCTAAATATACCCTCAAAGATAGCTGGGGAGGCTATCATGGGGATGGGCCAGGGAAGAGTTCATCTGTCATATGACCACAAGTGTACTCTCTCATAGCTTTCTATTTTAACCTAATATTCCTTGTTAAACTCAGTTGCTTCTATCCTGCAAAGGTATGCAAATACTGTCATCACCATCTAAATTTAGGCACCCTAGGGCAAAGCCCTAGCCACCCTGCCCTAGTTATGGCTCTGCCCAGTTCTGACCTTCTCACTCTATTCTCATCCCAGCTTATGGACCCCTTGACTTTACCCCATGACTCTTTGGCCATTTGACTCCTGATGCCTCTCTCCTTGCCCATCAATGCCAGAACCTGCTTTTCAGCACAAATAATACCCACCCTCTTTCCATGGCCTTTGGTATCCTATTCAAAGTCCTCCCTATCCTTACCTTCCCCAGTCTTTCAAGGCCTACCTCCATTCCTATCATCCTTCTTTTTCTTGTCTTCACTCCCCATTACCCTTCCCATCATTCTCTACCTTCTCTCCCATTACTCCCCGCTTCTCTCCATCCATAACTGCTGAGAATTCTTCATCTTCTTTCTCCTCCTCCTACCTTATGATTTTTCCATACCCTTCCCCCAAACTTCTAACCCCACTCTATGTCATCAAAGTCATCTCTCTCCCTTCTTCTTTTGTCCATCTCTTTTGGGGAATCTTCTCAGACTCAGAGGAAGAAAGTGTGCTTATAGCACTGCTTTGATCCTAAAAAACCCCTCAATTCCCTACCAAGATCTGTGTGATATTATCTGTCTGGGGGGCCAGGAAGCTAGGCAGGAGCCCATGGAAACCAGGACACACACATTTCCATGAGCTTGGAGAGAGATCACACAGATCTCCGGTCTCCCAGTCATCAATAGAATGTTTGGAAAGGGCTATTTGTGACTGAGATAGATAGAGGCACATAAGGTTGTTTTAACCCTCACTTTCTGCCCTGACATTCCCAGAGATCAAAGTCAGTTTGGGGTCTCCCCCACCCCTTCCACTCCTGCTCATCTTGCTCATTCTCTACTCCCTTTTAGCATCACCATTCCAGTCCAGACATTCTCCAATCTGCAGATCAGAGGTCAGTGGGGACTGCTGGAGTGAGGGAGTGGGGTAGGGTCTGAAGGCCTGGGAAGGGAGGAGACCCATTGAGGACCCTGACGGGAAAGTTCCCATTGTTTTGTGCCATGCACCTGTTGGGGTAGCAGAGCACCATCTATCTGTTCTAGTGTCTATGAGGCAAAGAGGGTCTCCACCTGAACGGCCATTGGGAACACCAGGGTTTCCTACTAATATACACACCTTGGGGATCCCCTGGGTGTCCCAAGGCAGATCCCAGCTAATCTTTTAATCCTTCCTTCAGTAGACCTTATGGAATGAACTTCTAGTCCCCCTCTTGGCTCTTACCACCTGTTCTTCCACCTGAGGTTCATTCTTTAGGGATCCAAGGGGGAACAGAAAGCAGTCTCTCCCCTCACCTCACATAATCCTCTGAAGATTTTCTAGGGGTGGGGTTTCTCCAATAACTTCAGGCAAGAAGAGGCAATATGACATAGTGGATAAAGTTTTGGGCTTCGAATCTTGGAACAATTAACAAATTTTTTTAATCACCTACTATGTGCCATGCACCGTGCTTGGTGCTTGGGATACAAATAAAAGAGCAAGACAGGCCTTGCCCTCAAAGAGTTTACATTCTACCAGGGATACACATGTTCACAGATAAGAAATATTTTATATATACATATATATACACACATACATACACACACACACGCGCACACACATATATATACACATACATAATCATTTCAACATGGGGGCTGGAAGGGGGACAGTACTAACCACTGAAGGAATCAGGAAAAGCATTAGAACTAGAACTGGGCCTTCAAGGGAGGTAGAGATTCCCAGAGGCAGAGATGAAGAAGGAGACGAGTTCAAATCCCACCTCCATCACTTCCTGTGTAACCCATGGACTAGTCACCCAATCACTACCTACCTCCATCAACTTCCCTGAGATTTATCTATTAAATCAAAGACGAGTTGGGATTTGCCTCGGTAGAGAGAGCTCTCCATTCAAACAGCAGGGATTTCTTCACTCTGAGGAAATCTCATTGATTACAAGGAAAAAGACAAGGGATAAAAATAATAAAAGAGGTGATGGTAGTGGGGGAAGTTACTAATTTCCATGAAGTCTCAAAATAACAGTTATCCTTGATATTCAATATAATGTAAGTACAGATCAGGCCTAATTTCTCTTGGCTCCCTGACTCTACTTGTGAAAATGAAAGGGTTGGATTCCATCAGTCAATCAATTAATCAGTCAATCAACTAGCACTTATAAAGCACCTACTGTGTGTCAGGCATGGGGACACAAAAACAAAGAATGAAACAATCTCTACTCTTATGGAGCTTACCTTTAAGTTAACAAGTTCATATTTAAGTAATAACAAGTACATATTTAATACATATATATAAATGCAAATACATATATTCTGGATATACAGAATAAATGCAAAGGAAACAAATACAAATGATACAAGGTAGTTGGGGGGTACTAGCAATTGGGAGGTCAGGAAAGGTTTCATGTGGAAGGTGGTGCTTGAAGTCAGAGAGGGATTCTATGAGGCAGAGGTGAGGAGGGAGTGCATTCTGGGCATGGGAGATGGCCAGTACAAAGTCATGTAGATAGGGAATGGAGTGAAGAACAGAAAAAAGTCAGTTTGACTGTCTTATAAGTACAAGAAGAGAAATAATGTATAATGGAATTGAAAAGATGGGTTAGAGCAAGGCCAGCTTTTGAAAGACTGTAAAAGCTAAACATGGGAGGGTAAATTTTATACTAGAGGAAATAGTGAGCCACTGAAGTTTATTAAGCAAGAGAGTGACTTGGTCAGATCTGTGCTTAAGGAAAATCATTTTGGCGATTATATAGAACACAGGTGTTCAAACATGTATCCTACACTCCCATGTGCCCCAGAACCAGATTAAAATGTAATTGGGAAGCATTTAACAAAATAAATAAAAATACAACAAAACATAGATAACATTACATTTTAAAACTAGATCAATATGTGGTCATCTGGGATCCTTATGTATGGATGACTGCCTCCTCTTTCTCTTTGAGTTTGATGTTACTGGTATATAAGATGGACTGGGATGAAAAGAGATTTAAAGCCTGGAGACCAATTAGAAGGTTATTGCAATAATCTAGTGTTGAGGATTTGAACTAAGGTAGTAGCTGTCTGAGTAGGGAGCCAGGGTGGATATGTATGTGTATGAGGGAAGGTACAGCCAGTGGTGGAGAGGATGACGAGAGTTTTCTGGAAGGAAGCCAGGTCTCAATGAGGACAAGTAGATGGAAGCAGTATGAGAAAAAGAGATCCATGATGGATGGATAATTATTCACCAGGGAATGGGAATTCCAGAGGGTACACTGAAAGGGGTAGGAATATTTGGAATGGAACATGAGTATGGAAGAGTAAGTTGAAGATAGTTTGCTTCTTGGTGACCAATTACTGAGTAATACAGGAATAAGGGAAGAAGCAGATAATGGGAACCATTAGCCACAGGAATAATGATGAGTGGCCAGCCCATAACCTCCAAGGAGTGTTTCATGACTCCTAAGGTCTCTTCCAACTCCAGAATCCCTGAGCTGGAAAGGACCTTAAAAGTGAATTTAGTCTAGTTCTCTCATTTTACAGATGAGGAAACTGAGGCCCAGGGATGTAAATTGAATTGACTTGACCAACACCATGCATCTATTAAGTGACAGAGCCAAGCCTTGAACCTAAGTATTGTGATTCCAAGTCCAAGGCTTTCTCCAGTACACGTACAAAGAAAACCTATGGCCTAGTGCCTGAATGTTCAAGGACTCAACCAAGATTCATTTCCATAGTCATAGAATGTCAAAGCTGGAAAGGACCTTAGAAATCATCAAGAACAAATCCCTCAGTTTATAAAGAGGATGCAGCTGAGGTCAACAGGGCCAGCTGTGTCCAAGATCCCAAAGAGAGGTAGCAGTAAGTTCAGGACTTAATCAGACCAAGGTCTTTTGTTGCCCAGTTCAGGATGCCTTTTTTTCCCCACTACATACACAGTTTTTCTCTATTTTTTTTTCCCTCTTGACCCTTGTTGGATTTGTTTTGAGAATCTCCCCTTCAATTCAACCTGTGGCTTGGTTTTCTTCTTCCTCTGGTAATATTGCACTGTGGCCAGCACAGAGAATTATGTCCCCAAGAGCTTCTCTTTGTTGAATAAAGTTTTATATTCTCTGTTCTTAATTTTAAAAATAGGCAAGTGGAGTATTTAATCTCTCTTTCTTCCAAGAGGGGGAGAAACAGCTAATGAAGTTACTTTTAACTTCTTCAATGTAATCCCTGATTCATTCTTTTTCTTTTCTTTTCTTTTCTTTTTTTGGGGGGAGGGTGAGGCAATTGGGGTTAAGTGACTTGCCCAGGGTCACACAGCTAGTGAGTATCATGTGTCTGAGTCTAGATTTGAACTCAGGTCCTCCTGACTCCAAGGCCAGTGCTCTATCCACTGTGCCACCTAGCTGCCCCTCTGATTCATTCTGTCTGTGAGTCAGTGACCTTTGTCCTCCACTTCTGTGCTAGGAGGTATTTTTTTCTTGGGGGCGGCAGAAGAATGGAATATTGTCTTGAGGCTCAGCTTGTACGACTGGGGTAGGTGGTAGAGTAAGGTAGATTTGGGCCCTGGTGCCTACAGTACCTGCGCATAAGAAAGTGGCCCTTTTCTTGCCTGTAGAGACCAGTCTGGACACCAAGTCTGTGTCAGAGGGGCATCTCAAGAGGAGCATTGTCGTAAAGACTGTCGAGATGCGTGACGGAGAGGTAATTGACTGGAAGTCTGGAAGGAACCCTTCCCACCAGCCCACTACCATGAGAATTCAGTATCTAGGGGTTTCCCAAAAGCCCAAGATGGAGAGGGGACCAGTAGTCTGTGTCTTATGGGGAGGCATAATGTGGAAAGGAAAGCAATCAGAAGATAGAAGCCCACGCTGCTGCCCTCTCTTCCTCTTCTTCCCAATTTGGCTCTAAGACTATATTCATAACTTGTAGGCAGAAATATTATCCCTATTTCATTTCATTTATTTATTTATTTTTGTGTTTTGCTAGGCAATGGGATTAAGTGACTTGCCCAGGGTCACACAGCTAGTTAGCGTTAAGTGTCTGAGGTCAAATTTGAACTCAGGTCCTCCTGAATACAGGGCTGGTGCTCTATCCACTAAGCCACCTAGCTGCCCCATATCCCTATTTTAAAGAAGGGTAAACTGAGGCTCAGAGTGCCTAGATAATTTGCCCAAGGTCACACAGCTAGTGTTAGAACCAGAATCTGAATGAACACAGGGGAATACAGGCCATTAGATGAATGATTCCAGTTAAGGGTAGAGGAATCATGTGCATGTCTTCTTCCCACATTTGGCTCAGATTCAAGTAGGAAGGGGGAGTCTGGAGAGATGGGCTGAGTTTTCCTAAATCAGAAAAAAGGTCCTTGAGCTAACTGTGCCTCATCTTTCCTTTCCACCAAACATGTCCTTTCTCTCTTCATCTAGGTCATTAAGGAGTCTACGCAGGAGCACAAAGATGTGTGAAGAGGGGCACACCCAGAAGCCCCTACAACAGGAGGCAGAGTAGCTGCCTTGGTTCCTAAGTGAGAAGCTGTAGGGTAGGCGATTTATCCAGATGCAAGTCCCATAGTATGCCTCCTCCTCTCCCCAACCCCCGGTCCCTCAGCCAGCTTTGTTTGTTTAGGCCCCATCAGTATCAGGGCTGATGCTACACTTGTCACAGTTCCTCCACTTCCCCAGTCCCCTCTCCTACTGACTGGACAGGATGAGCCTCTAGTGTTTGTATTTCTGGGACTAATCATAAGGCGATGATGTTAGAGATGCTTAGAAATCAGTTCGGTTTAGGCTAGTAGGGAGAGATGGAAGCAGAGGGGAGAACATTGCTGGAGGTTGCTCCCCCTTGACCCTCCCCACATCCTTGTTTCTATGGCAACTATTGCCAGGGCACCAGGAAGCCCAGAGCTGTCATTCCTAGACTAGGGGAAGGGAAGGGTGTTGGAGCTTGTGGGGATGGGAGTGGGGGATTGTCTGGGCCCCTTAGAAAAAATAAGACTTAGTGAGGTGAAAGCAGGGCCCCTCAGGACAAGGGAAGAGGCTGATCTCCTGTCTCTGGCCCTGACCTGGGAGAGGCTGGGGACCTTCATGGAGGTAGTTATTACTCAGTTATTAATCATTATAACTCACTTATATAACTCATATATATATTTATATTCAAGGTTTACTATTCACTCTTGCTTACAATGAGTCTGTGAGGTAGGCAGAACCATTATCCCAATTTTAAAGAAGAGTAAACTTAGGGTCAGAGGGCCTGAGTTCACACAGCTAGCTTTAGAATCAGGATCTGAACCCAGGTCTCTTGACTCCAAATCCAATGCTCTCTTCCTTTGTCTTCTGAGTTCCAGGAGAATAAAATACCCCAGTTGGCTTCCAGTTGACTTCGTTGTTAACACAGCATATGGTCACTTGTTACTCATAGGTCTTAGGATCATAGATGCCCAGAGAATCAGCACTGCGATACTCCCCCCCTACACTCTACCTCCACCCCCACCACCCCAGATGTGGTTGCAGCAGAATCATTTATGGGGATTAAGGTCTGGAAAGTGTTTATACTTGGAGAAAGCCATTTGGAGTTCCATTCTTAGAGCTTCAAATTGGGAGGGAGGGAGAGGAGGCAGAGTATTTTTTGGTGCAGGAAAGTCTCTGGTGGATGTGGAGGGAGAAAAGGGATCAGAGGTGGGGAGGGAACAGAGAGAGTTGTACAGATAATTCCTAGTTTGGGTCAGGAAGGGCCTGAAGAAGTTCAAATGGAGACTTGAGATTCTGACGTGCAAGAAGCCCGGGGGTGGAAACCTAGTTCAATCAATCTGTCTCTCCTTCTCCCCCTTTCCTCAGTTGGAGCTAAGTGAACAGATCACAGATCAGAATTCCCCTCAAGGTTCACTAGTTGCTTCATTTGGCCTCTGGATCACGGCAATTAAGAAGTTAACATCCTCTTCCCCATGCCAGATTCTGTTGGGGAAAGTACAGCTAGAGAGACCACCAAGCTTAGGGGATCATGTAGTCTATTTCCAAGGCCTCTTTCTTGACCAGTCAAGGCCTCACAGTCCTTTTTATACCATCCCACCTCCACAGCCCTTCACCTTCCCCCATCTTTTTCCATTTTTTTCTGTATAAAATGGATTCTGATCTTGACTTCCCCTCCCTTCTCTCCCTCTCATAAATTGAACTAAGAGGGTATATAATTTCCAATTTCCTGGTATAAGTTTAAGCTTTAGGCTCTCAAACCAAACTTAGTAGAGTGTTCCTTTTCCCCAATAATTCCCCTGGCCCAGAAACAGCCATGGTTGGTACTGTGGGGGGCTTCCTACACACTGCAGAGGCTGCTTGGATGATAGCAATACCTATCTTCTGTCCCTCTCTCACACATTGCTGACTAGCTGTATTTCTAACGTGTTGATGATCTTCTGTAGCAACTCCCTCCCTCTCTTGCTCCCACCACACACGTCAGCCTAGGCTCCATTTTTAAAAATGGGAAAACTAAGGAGTAGAATCAGGGGAAGAGATTAGGCTGAATAGGCTTAGATTTAAAAGCAGCGCTTGGCCCGGTGTGTGTCCTTGGCATTCTGTAGAAGGCTTTGCTGGGTATAGGGTTGGTAGTGCAGCAATATGTGGAGCCTAAAAAGTGATCTGGGGGCATTTGTTTCAAGACCCCCACTTCACACCAACAGGCCAGACCTTGGAAGATAATGGAGAACCTTTCCTCTCTCTCAAGCTTCCTTCGACCATGCCTTTTCCTTAGCTCTGTCACTTCACTGCTTCGCCATTGCTGACTTTAATCTAGTCAGTTGCAGAGGATAAATAATAAAGTGTGATCTGCATTCCTTGGAGTGAGCACCTGATTTGTATTTGAGAGGGAGGCACCATGAACTGAGGCAGGAGCAAACCCTGCTGTCTCCCCTAGCCCTGGATTCCAGCATAGCTGGGAGCCACCAGTGATTCTTTCCTCCTTTCCTCCAGTTCTTATCCCACACCAATTTCCCCAATTCCACCCCCAATGAGGGTTTGACTAGGACTCTCTGTGCTGGTTCTCAGATCTGGGGCCCCACATAGGCCCAATAACCAGCCTCCTTTTCAACCAATCTCACTTTATGTTCCCACGTCAGCCTGTGAATCATGATTCCCACCACAACTTTCCCTAGTTCATGACCCAGAAAAGGCCTGAACTTTGTCTCATTATCACTCACTTAGGACCCCTACCTTGTTTTTTAATCTCTTCTCATTGTCCCAAGTCCCCCATTTCCCCCTGCCGACCTAGCCAACTGGGGCCACCTGCGGTAGGATGGAGGCTGGGTGTAGCTGCCTCTTCTTTTGCAGAGATGAGAGACCATGGGTGTGTGCACTATCTCATATACTGTCAGACACACTTGATGTGTTTAGTTGGGTTTAATGAGCTGCTTTTTTCCCCTCCTTTTTAATGATGTGTTACAAGGAAACGTCACTGGATAGGAGAAAATGAAGGGAGCCCACCTCTTGGCTCTAACACCATACACATTTCCCGTAGGGGAGGGGAGAGCAGGTTTAAATATGGAGCAAGACAGTACCAGCCTTATCACTGTCCCCCTGATCTCAGACCTTTATCATCTCTCCATTTCTCTAGTCTATGCTAATGATACTGTTCATTCAATAGTAGGTTGGGGAGTTATAACAACAGCATGTGTTCCTGCTTCCTGCTCTCCACTTCCCAACCATGATGCAGTATCGTTAGGACTTCTTACATTTAACTAATGAAGGTAGTTTACAAACAAAAGATATTTTTAAACTTTTTTTTAAATCAATAACCATTGAGGTCTTCTCCAAAAGAATCAATCAGCTCCCCAAATCTCCCCCATTAACATGGCCATCTCTATTTTCCCCACCAAACCAATGCCTACTTGACCATCTTTTAAGGAAAGCTCTAAGACCCCATCTCTTGGCTCTGATTCCATACATACCTACTTTAGGGGAAGGGAGAGGAAACTGGTCCCTGAACCCAGACCCTTATCTCTTCTCCATCCATTTGCCTAGTCCATGCTAATGATACTGTTCATTAAATAGTAGATTGGGGAGTCATAACCAACTGCTTCTCTAGTCTCCACTTCCCACCCATGGCGCAGTATCATTAGAACTTTAACCATTTAACTAATATATTTAATAAATAATTGGTCTCTAAGGTCTAAGGGAAAAGCCTATATATCAGGGCAGCAAGTAAAGAAGTAACAGCAGCAGCGGCACAAGTGGATAAGGATGAAGACAACTGTAAGGAACACATAGCCCACCAGGGCAGCCTGCAGGGCATATCGGGTCTCAGGGTCAGAGAGAGAAGCATAGTAGCGACCCCGAGACGTCACAGCTACCCGGAAGCCAGCTACCATCTCCCCTTCTCGCCAACAGTAATAGATTCCTCTGTCATTCAACTGGGTGAATCGGATATGGAATTGATTGCCATGGTCAATGAATATCCTCATGGATCGGTTGACCCCCTTCAGGAAGCTGGTGCGGTATAGACGGAGCTGGTCCTTGTCCCAGGCTACAGCATGTTCTGGACGAGCCCCAGGGCAGGAGATGATAAGCCCATGGCCAAGCTTCTGTTGGTGGAGCTGAATGGGTACTTTGGGAACCCAGGGTTTGCTGCCCAGCTTGGAGACGAAAGTATAGATGGCCATCAGTCCCACCTGTGACTTCTTCTTGCAGGGCACCATGCAGCTCCGGATCATCAGCTCAGGTGGACGGTGCTTCCCTGCCATATTTCGCAGTTTCCTGGGCACTGCCTGGGAGCCACAGGATATCATATCGGGCACACTGTTTCGGAACCGGGGAGGAAGGCCTGGTTTATTCAGGTAGCAGAGACCAATCCGCCATTGTTCCCCCCGGACACCACAGCGATCACAGTGGGTCCACTCCCAGAAGGTAGTGAAGATATGGAGGTTCCCATGCTCCTCATCCACAGCAGGCTTCTGGCCAAGGTCAATGAACGCTGCCACCATTTTTTTGCTGCTTTGTATGTCCACATCGTAGCCATAGAAATAGTCACCGTAGCGTGTCCCACAGAGGTAGAGCCCTGAGTCTTCAGGCTGTGCCCGGAACACCAGTAAGCTGAACATCCGGATGCTGAAGCGGGCCAGCATGCTGCTGCCTACCCGCACTTGTCCCGAATCAACCACCACCCGCCCATCAAAATCTGTCAGGACTCTGGTGTGGTGGCTCCCTAGTTGCTCCTGGTAGTACCAGACCACAGCGGCCACCCCTTCAGGCTTGCAGTGACAGGGGAGCTCAAAGCTCATGTCGGTCAGGTAAGCTGCATTATCAAACATCAAGAAGGCAGGACAAGGGACCTTCTGAAAAACATTCTCCTTTTCTACCAATTCAAAAGCCTGGAGACTTCCCCAGCTCCACAGCAGTAGCAGAGGGGTATGGACCAGGCCCATATTGGTAAAGCCAAAGAGCTAGATGGGAAGGAGAAGTAAAGAGTAAAACCAAGGGGCTAAAGAACTTTGGGCTTAGAGACCTCCCAACATTGTGTATAGAGGGGAGGGTTAACAGGGAATCACTCTTCCAGCTCAGTTCTTAAGGAAGTACTTTTCTGTAGAGAAAGCAGATCCCAACTAGAAATGTTTGCCTTTTTCATACCTACTGAAAATTAGAATGTTTCTAGACCTGATCCTACCTCATGAAAAAATCATTCTAGAACCAGTTCTTTCTTTCTGTTCTAGAATGCCTATGTGGAGGTGACCAGATCTGATGGTATCATGTCAGTGTTCTTCCTTCTTGACCTCTCTGCTGCATTGGGCACTGTTCACCACACAGAGATGCTCTGACCTCTCTAGGATTTCAAGATATTTCTCTCTCCTGGTTCTCATCAGACAGTACCTCTCTGACTGCTCCTCAGTTTCCTTTGCTGGCTCACCACCCTAACTCTGCATGTTCCTCCTCTCCTCTTTTTGATGACCTCATCAGCTCTCCTGGGTTTAATGATTACCTCCATGTAGACAGCTCATAAATCCATACATCCAGGCCTGGTCTCTCCCCTGAGCTTCATTCATACATCAACTGCCTAGTGGACATTTCAAACGGGATGTTTCACAGGCATTTCTACTCAATACGTCCAAAATGAAATTCATCATCCTCCCCCAAAACCTTCTACACTTCTGTCAAAGGCACTATATTTTTTCCATTCTCCCAGGTTCATAACCTCAGAGCTATACTTGACTCCAATATCTCACCCCTCCCCCATATATCCAGTCGGTTGACAAATCTTGTTATAGTGTACCTTCCTAACATCTCTTGCATGTGACTCCTCCTCTCTCTTCACAGAGGCATCATCTTAATTCAGGTCTTCATCACTTCCTCCCTGAACTATTTCATTAGCCTCTTTATTGATCTTCCTGACTCGTCTCTCCCTACCTCAATCCAACTTCCACAAAGATGCCAAAATGATTTTCCTTACGCTCATGTCTAACAATGTTATTCCCTCACGAAACAACTTCAGTGGCTCCCCATTGTCTCTAGGATAAGACTGGGTAGCTTTTCAAGACCATCACAACCTAGACCCAATCTATCTTTCCAGCTCCATTACACATTACTCCCCTTCCTGCATGCTAACCTGGTCAAATTGCCCTTTTAAAATTTCTCACACTTGGCACCATCCCCCCTCTCTATGCCTTTGTAATTGCCTCTCTGTGCCCAGAATGTGCCCCCCCTGCACCTCTGCCTTCTAGAAGCCCTTGCTTCAAGCCCACACCACCTTCTACACAAAGCCTTTCCTGATCCTCTCAACTGAGACTGCCCTCCCTAGCTACCTGCTCATATAGAAGTAGTTTTCCTGATGGAACATAAACTCCTTTGTTTCATTTCTTATACTGCATGTCCAGTGCCTGAAACATAGCAGACATTTCATAAATGCTTGTTGATGGCTTTTCTCCCATGTTGTTCACCCTATCTCTTTGGGAACAAAGTTTTTTCTTTCATAAATCCTGGAGAAGAAGTAAGGATAAGTATGTGTATAGCCTGGCAATTCTGAACCACCCTTTAAAGCCTGGGTAGCCTGACAAAGCACTACTGATGACTCAGGATTTCCCACAGCCCAAATCAGAAGAACTCAATTCTTGGGGGAAAATAGTGTCCTCTTCCCCACCCCGAAATAAAGTGTCAAAGTCTGTCAATAAAATGTCTTTATTGGCATGGGGTAGATCCCTATAGATATTAATGGACATAATTAATCACAGATTTTAAAACTCTGCCTGCACGGGTTGGTGGTAAACACTAGGATGGAGGATTTTAATCTTAGGGCAAGGGCACGATTCTTAGCAGGTTTTAAGGATGAGAAGTCAAATTTCTCACAGTATATATATATGTATATAGGTTTAAATAGACCTATTTAAAGTTAGAATGGATAAAACTAATCTTTTGCCACAGTTCCGGAGGGACAAGGCTAAAAGGAAAAGTTTGGGGTCAGGCAGCAAGATGGCCAACAATATTAAGGACTGTCTAGGAAAAACAAACCTCCAATAGATAGTTAGGTTTGCTGTTTGTTCTGAGAAAGATAACATCTCTGGCCAATTTGGTATAGCTCTGATAGCTCCTGGAGGAGTTTCTCATCCCCATCATTCCCACTGTGTGGTTTCTCTAGCTCTTGCTCTTTACAGCTCAGTTCTTCTTCTGCGGGCCTGGTAACATCCATACTTTGAAGTTTCTGAAATAATTTTTGGCAGCTCTCTCTCTCAGCCTTGCTCAGCAAGCTCAGATTGAGGCCAAATCGGCCAGTTCTGGATAGGCTATGAAGAATCTCTAGAACAGCAGCATGGTCAGCTGGCTTAAAATTCTCTGCCAATGTCATCAGCAGTTCACCCAGAAGTCCAAAACCCACATCTGCCCGGAAAAGGTGGCCCAGGTTGGGGGCCCCAAGCTGTAACAGGGCCTGGTAACGCTCTGGTCCACTCTGTAGGTAGTGGCGCCAAGCCCTGTAGAAATCTGATGATGTCTCAGGCTGACAATCTCCCTTCTAGGTCAAAGGGGAAAAGTAAAGAGAGTTAGGTCCTCAGGACACTGAGGAATCAATATTTGCAGGCTCTATTCCTAGCTTGTCTACTGACTCAATTTTCATCTTAGGAAAAACATGACCCCTTGTGGACCTCAACTTCCTCTTATGAAATAGGTTATTTTAAACTTGCCCCTTCTTAGGCACAATCTTAGGGATTAGGGTATTGAATTAACAACATGATTTAGCATCATATCATGGAAATTTACAGAATGTGGATATAGCATATTCTATGATGGGAAGAACGCTAGGTCACAGGTCGCAGAATCCTAGAGGTCGGTCTAATTGGCTGAGAGTCGACAGATCCTGTCTCCTCATTCAAACCATAACAACTGCACAAGCAGTGGGATTGTACTTTATACCACGTGTCCTTAGCAGAATGTCATCTGGGACACTGAGCTCCTGTAGTCCCCTTACTCCCTCATTTGAATTTGGTGCAGTTTCTGCTAGTTACAGCTCTGTACACAGTTGTTGAACTGGGAAAATACAATACAATATAGATAATGTTAATTTGTGGTTTCTATAAGTCATTATGGGGCCCTACAGGGATCCATTTCTATTCAAGTTTAGGGCCTTTGTTCCATAGAGTACAGAGAGCCTGGCCAAGGTCACAGAATCTAAGAGACAGCTCTGATTGGCTGAGACCTGACAGACCTGCCTTTTTTCCAAATCACAACTTGGCTCTTCACCCTGTACTTATCATAGCCCAGAGTCTGTATACCCTATACCTGAATGAATGGGATTTCTCGAGTAAAAGGGGAATAGGGCTTTCCCTCAAGGCAATGGCATGGTGGGGCTTACATGCCTCTTCCCCAGAGATATTGGTTTCCATACCTTTCTTTGAAGCCCTCAGGATGCCTAGAGCACAAATGCTCCCTTGGAACTCTTGAAAGATGGGCCTTCCCCTTTAAGCATGACTGCACATACAAGTGGGACTGTACTTTATACTACATGTGCTTAGCAGGCTGTCATCTGGGTCATTGAGCCCCTGCAGCCCACCTACTCCCAGCACTTAGCTCAGTGCCTGGCACAGAGTAGATGCTTAATAAGTATTTATTGACTGATCGGATTGAATTTTGTCTAGGGCAGTTTCTGCTAGTTACAGCTCTGTAAAAGTTTTATGAATTAGTTAATTAAGAAAGAGATGTATTACAAGTTAGGGTTAGGGTTCCCCAGTAGATTATGGAATGCCTATTTCACCTGGGAGATATAAGTGCTGTCCTCCTGAGTAACGCCTGTCTGGGCAGTGGTCCTTGTCACATGGCAGTTCCAAAGCACTGTCTTCTTGATATTCATTTTGTCCTTCCTCTCTAAAGGCTTCAGGTGTGAGGCAAGGACAATGTCCCTGTGGGCAAAGTAGATAGTATTTGAGGGAAGAATCACCAGGCTGGGTGTGCAGGTATGAAGCTGCTGAACCCTGTAACTTCTGCTGCATGAGCATGGTGCTGTAACTGTCCAAGCTAATTGGGCCATGGAATATAGGGAGGACAGCTCTGGGAAAAAGTGAAAGTGAGCCAACCTGAACTCTTCATAGGAAGCCACCTTCTGTTCCACAGCCCGGAATTTGGCAGCATTCTCTCTTCGGTATTTCTCGTCAGCAGCTAAGGCAGCCTGCAACTCCTTCTCCAGAGCCTTAAAGTCAATGGTATCAGTCTTTTCCATGTCTGGAGCCTGGGAGTGAAAAAAGGGTGAAGCCCAGCAATGAGATATTACCAGGGGAAGAAGCTACTCATCATGATAAAGCTTTGCCATCCTAAAAAAGTTGAAGCACGTTGTCCAAATTGTCACTTATCTCAAAGGGAAGGGTACAAAAGTTAAGTCTCCTCATTTTATTTTATTTTATTTTTTGTTTTTTTCTTTCTTTTTTTTTAAAGTCTCCTCATTTTAAAGAGAAAGGATCTAAGCTATGTAGCAATGGTCTAAGATCCCAAATCACTCCATTGTTTCACTGGGGATAATAATTGACAACATTTATATAATTCTTTAGGGTTTACAAAAGGCTTTACACATATATTGTCCATACATATATATTTCACCTACATATCCCACAAGAACACTGTGAGGTAAATACTATTATTATCCCCATTTTATGGATAAAGAAACTGAGGCTCAGAGGAAGCAAGTGACTTGTCCAGGGTCACACATGTAGTATGTATCTGAGAGTATCCAAACTCAGATCATCCTGATTCCAAGTCCAGTATTCCATCCACTCTTGAGGACTTCTGAGTTGATATTCCCATCTAGAACGGCCTCTAGACTAAAGACTAAATTGCTACTGTCAGTCTCTTTATTGAAGCAGTGGTTTCAAAAAGCCATTTGAAACTGAAGGCACCTCAGAATTCAGACCTGAGAGGGTCCCTCCTAAGAACTCTCTTTGGAGTGGACTGTTAATAATGAAGGGCAGATGGCTTCACACAGCAGATGTGACTATAGCTCCTTTTGAGCCTAGGATAAATTTCAAGTTATGTCTATCCAAATCAGACGTAGTGTTGGGGTGGGAGTAGAACCGCACAATCGTTGCTGAATTTTCTAAGGGTCTAATGACACTTTCCAGCCTCCTCAATTGTAACAACTGAGCTAGGAAGAAATGCAAGAGTATCAGAAAGAACTGGTTAGGATGGATGCACCATGACCTTGTGGCCTTCCTCTCTTCTGGAGTCACTGGCATCACGTGGTCCCAACTCAGTGGACACCTGTAGCAGCAGGAGTGGATGTGGACTAGTGAAAAACCAACGCCTAGAGGCTCATGTCTTGCACAAATTAGACACTTCATAAACATTCCCTGAATTGAACGGTGGCAGGAAAATGGACGAAGGGCAACTTTTCCTTCTACTCGATTTGGATACCTTTGCGGCTAGACCCTTCTACCCTTTTCTTCCCAGGTCTCAGCGCAAACTGGCACCCTGCACCTCTGAGATGATGGAGCTACTCTGAAGGGTCAACACTACTGTGGCCTCCCTCGCTCTCAGAAAAGACCAGCAAATTAAGATCTGTAAAGCACCTAGAAAACTCATCTGGTCCAAGCCCCTCTTTAGAAGGGTCTTTCAGAGCTTATCCAGTCCAAGACTCTCATTTGGGGGTCCGGAGAGATTGAACAACTCGCCCAGGGTGATACAGGTAGATAATCCAGATCCTGACCCCAGATCAAGTATTCTTCCCACTGCACCGAGGATCTTCCGCCACCACCAAAAAGGGCCCATCCCAAAAGTTAAACCGGGTGGCGGGAGAGCCAGGGACATCGACCCCCCCCCCGCGTGCATGTAAACTGAGACCACACAGAGCCCAGGAGTCCCAACCCAGTTCCAACTGCCCCGAGAACTAGCAGAGGAGAACGCGAACCTACCCCAAGCTCCTGGCCAGCCGTCGCTACCCTCTAACCCTCCCCCCCAATCCAAGAAAAATCCTAATTTTTCTCCTGCCTTACAGCTGCAGTTCAGGCTATAGCCACGCCAGACGGTTGCCTAGCAACCGTTTGACTCAAGCGACCCACGTGATCGTGCCAAAGGCCTCTCCCCGTCCGAGCTGCCCTAGGGCTGCCTGATAAGATGAACGCCGCGCTGGCTCGCTCGGCCTCGCCTAGGCCGTTACTCTTTCACGTCCGACCTGTCGCAGTGTTCCCCCTCGAAGCACCCCTTCACCCCGGAATGGGATTATCCTACCCCGGCAACTCAGGCAGAGAGGCTGACGGCGGCGGAAAGGGGCGTGGCCTCGACGCCGCGCGGGGTCCTTCCTAACGGGTGTCGCAGGCGCCGGCGCATCTTCGGACGCAGCGAGCGCGGTGTCGGAATCGGGAGTTGAAGCTGCAGGTGAGGAGTTACGAGCCCCCGAAGTCGGGGAGTAGACTTGACCGGATGGGATCCGAGGCAGGCAGATGTGGAAGGGGTGGACCTTAAAAAAAATTATCATCTTACAAAAGAGGAAACTGAGGCTTGGGGGAACGACCGGACTCTCCTCGGCCCAGGGTCTCGGTCTCCCACGAGAAGTGGGGATGAGTGGGCCGGGCCTGGTGGTGGTGGGGAGGGACTGGCGTGTCACTGATTGGCCTGGTTGTAACCGTGGGCAGGTTTCCTAACTGCTGCGTGCCCCTTCATAAAATGGAAGCTTCTTGAGGGCAGAGACTGTTGTTTTTGGTTCTGTGGCTTTGCAACTACATACGTAGTAAGTGCTTTACAAGTATTTGTTTAATTTTCTGCCTTCTTTTCTATCTCCAGCACATGGCACTTAGTAGACGCTTTAAATAAGTATTTGTTGAATTAAATGAGCAATAATGTACATTTTACCAAGTGCTCTGAGGTTTACACACTGCTTTCTTCCCCGATCTCCCTCCATAACTCTGAAGTCATAGGTACTTTATTCCTATGTGACTGATGAGGTCCAGAGAGGTTAAGTGACATCATCACCATCATCATCTTCATTTGTAAAGCACTTTAAAATTTATAAAGAGCTTTGCATGTGTTACCTCATTTGTTCCTCACAGCAATCCTCTGAGGTAGGTGTTAACTATTATCCATATTTTACAGATGAAGAAAATGAGGCTACAGAGGTTGTGACTTATCCAAAGTCATACACAGCTAGTAAATTTCTGAGGCAAATTTGAACTCAGGTCTTCCTAACTACACTAGACTTGTCTCGCTAATAAGTGTTAGAGCAGTGAGTCCAACTCCTTCCATTAGAAGTCTGCTTCTGTTACACAGAGTGCTGTTGGGGAGTACCTTTAAGCTTCAATAGCTTTTGGGATGCCCTCTGCACAGTGCTGGCCCCCTAATATATAGAAGATGTGTTCTCTCATTAATATAGATTCTATATTTAAATCCTGGCCTACCTTGGAAGAAAGCTTAATAAATTACCCTAGCCAAAAAACAAAAAAACAGGTCATGGTTTGGTGATTTACTACATAACATACCTTCTGATGATGAATATTCAATTAATCTAATCCTTGAACTGTGCTTGGTACAAGAAATTTTTCTAGTCTGGCTAGGACCTGCTTGAGCTAATGTAGTTCTGCTGGGATTGACTTGTAACACCAGTGTCACTTTATCACATTGGGGCACTGGAGTGGAAGCTTAGTAAGGGATATTCATACCTTCACTGGAAGTTGATTCAACAAATGTTTGATTTAAAAGTTTTGTTGATATCTTTTGTTTTTACATTGCCTACAGTTCCAAATGTATCCCTTTGTTATCTACTTAACCATCCCTAGTGTCAAAGAAGAAAAAAGAGGGAGGAAAAAAAGTAGTTGAGTAAAACTAACCAACACTGACCATGTATATAATTCAAGAAATATTTATTAAGTACTTTCCGTGTGAAAGGCCCTTGGCTGTTTGCTGGAGAGATACAAAACATAAATGAATCAATTCTTGTCCGCGTGGAGATTATAAGTTTGGATAAAATGGGAACAGATCTTAAAGTATTTTGAAGGTGTAAAAATTCTAGAGAACCAGATAGTACATTTAAACCTCATAGAGTTTACATCAAAAGGGTTTATCTTAGAAAATAGGAGATGCTCACTTAGTGTTTCTTGGGGTGGGAAGCTTGGAAGGATCTGTAGGAGAAATAGTACAAAAATACACAGGGAGTTTTATTAATTGGTCTTCAAGGAACATATAGCATGATGATTTCGTTTTGCTCTGCAGCTAGCATAACATAACTAGGGAGGGGCAAAAAATAAATAGTTCCAGATAGATGTAACTGTTCATTTTACACTGAAATGGAGGTTAGTTTAAAGATAGTCAGTCATGGCCAGGAAAGGAAACATATAGTACCCTCCTCTTCTTTGCCTGCCTAGAGATTATTCATATTTTTTGTTTTCTTCCCCTTAGATATTTAGCATCATGGACACAGATCTCTATGATGAGTTTGGGAATTATATTGGACCAGAACTAGATTCTGATGAAGATGATGATGAATTGGGTAGAGAAGCCAAAGATCTTGATGAGGTAAGACTACTTTAAAATAAAGTTTACTCTTTTTTGGGTGGGGGTGGGGGATTTGAAATTTTATGTCACTGAGAATAATAGCTGGTGTTTATATAGACCTTTAGGGCTTACAAAGCACTTTATAGATATTATTTCATTTTATCCTCACAACACCGCTGGGAGGTAAGTCCTATTACCACCTCCATTTTACAGTTGAGGAAACTGACGTAAGCAGGTCACATGACTTACTCAGAGTCACACAGCTTACTGTGTAAGGCACTAGTATCTTGGTGTTTGAACTCAGATCTTCCTGACTCCAGGCTGAGTGCTTTATTCCCCGTGCCACCTAGGTGCCAGAATAGAGAATGTGAAGTATTTTATTTTATCCTTTCCTCTCATTGATTTTTGATGGAAATTTTTAAGGAGGTGTGATATTTTGGAATTTTATTTATCTTTTCCAGATTTATTATTGACTTATTTTTAATGTTCTTTCCTTTTCAAATTTTGAGTTCCAGATTCTTCCCCTCCCGTCCCCTCTCCCACCCACTGAGAAGGCAAGCAATATAATATCAATTACACATACGAAATCATGCAAAACACATTTCCATTACTGCCATATTAAAAAAAAAATTTAAAATGTGAAAATTATACTTCAATTTGTACTCAGAATTAGTTCTCTCTCAGGAGGCAGGTAGCATTTTTTCCCCAGCACGAGTCCTTTGGAATTGTCTTAGATATTGTATTGATCAGAATAGCCAAGTCTTTCACAGTTGATCATCATCCAACATTGCTGTTACTGTGTACAGTGATCTCCCAGTCTTCAAACTTCATTTTGCATCAGTTCATCTAGTTCTTGCCATGTTTTTCTGAAACCACCCCTTCATCATTTCTTTTTTTTGGCGGGGAGGGCGTGAGGCAATCAGGGTTAAGTGACTTGCCTAGAGTCACACAGCTAGTAAGTGTCAAGTGTTTGGTCTGAGGTCGTATTTGAACTCAGGTCCTCTTGACTCCAGGGCTGGTGCTCTATCCGCTGCATCACCTGGCTGCCCTGTCCCTTCATTTCTTATAGCACAGTAGTGCTTCATCACAATCATATGCCACAACTTGTTTAGCCATTCCCCAGTTGATGAGCATCGCCTTAGTTTTTCAGTTCTTTGTCACTACATAAAGAGCTGCTGTAAATATTTTTGTATATATACATCCTTTTCCTTTTTCTTTGACCTCTTTGGGTACAACTCTTATAGTGGCATTGCTCAGTCAAAGGCTATGGACAATGTTATCATAACCCTTTGGGCGTAGTTCCAAATTGTTCTCCAGAATGGTTTGAACTATAACAATAGCATACCTATTTTCCTCCATGCCCTCCAGCATTTATCATTTTTGATAGGTGTGAGGTGGGACCTCAGAATTGTTTTCATTTGCATTTCTCTAATCAGTAGTGATTTAGAGCATTTTTTTCATATTCTGTAGATAACTTTGATTTCTTTGTCTGAAAACTGCCTGTTAATATCCTTTGACCATTTGTCAATTGGACAATGACTCTTATTTTTATGACTTTGACTCAGTTCTCTATACATTTGAGAAATGAGGCCTTTATTAGAGAAACTTGCTGTAAAAATTTTTGATGTTATTTCATTGTCTGTGGTACCTTTTAGCAAAATGTGGTTTCCCTGGTCTATTTTTGCTTTTGCTTTGTCTGAGATTATGATTGCTATCTCTGTGTTTTTTTCTTCAGCTAAAGCATATTGGGTTCTACTCCAGCCCTTTATTTTAACTCTGTGTGTGTCTTTCTGTTTTCAGTTTGTCTCTTGAAAACAGCATATTATTGGTTTCTGGTTTCTAATCCATTTTGCTATTTGCTTCTGTTTTATGGGTGAGCTCATCCAGTTCACATTTATAGTCATGCTTACTAACACCTTTTCATTTTCTTCTATTTCCTCTTCTCTCTCTTTTTATACTGTCCCTCCTCTGTTTTGCTTCTGGCTACTACCTCCCTTAATCTTCCCTCCCTTTTATTATTCTCTCCGCTTTCTCTTATCCCTGTCCCCTCCTATTTCCTTTTGGATAAGTTACACAATTGAATGTGTATATATATTCTTCCTTCTTTGAAACAATTCACTCCCTGCCTGCCACTCCCCCCAGTTTCCCCCTCCTTTGTAAAAACTTTTACTTATGAGCCTTTATTGTGTGAGAAAATTTCCCCCATTCTACCTCTCCCTTCCCCCTTCTCCCAGTGTGTCGGTCTTTCTCACCACTTCTTTTTTTTTTTTGATGGGAGGGAAGCTCATCTAAAGATAATTGATACACATCCATTGCCTCTGTCTATGTAGACTCCTTCCAACTGCCCTAATAATGATAAAGTTGTTAGGAATTATGTGCATCATCTTCCCATACAGGAATGTAAACAGTTTAACTTTATTCCTTTTGATTACTCTTTCATGTTTACCTTTTTATGCTTCTCTTCAGTCTTGTGTTTGAATGTCAGATTTTTTATTCAGCTCTGGTCTTTTCATCAGGAATGCTTAGAAGTCCTCTATTTCATTAAATATCCTTTTTTTCCCCCCACCCATGAAGGATTACACTCAGTTTTGCTGGGTACATTATTCTTGGTTGTAATCCTAGCTCTGTTGCCTTCTGGAATGTCTATTTCAAACCTTCCACTGCTTTAACGTGGAAGTTGATAAATCTTGTGTGATCCTCACTGTGGCTCTGCAACATTTGAATTGTTTCTTCCTGGCTACATGAAGTATTTTCTCTTTGACCTGGGTGCTCTGGAATTTGTTTATAATATCTTGGGAGTTTTTATTTTGGGATCTTTTTCAGGAAGTGATTGGTGGATTCTTTTGACTTCTAGTTTACTCTCTAATTCTAAGATATTGGGGCAGTTTTCCTTGATAATTTCTTGAAATTTGATGTCTAGGCTCTTTCTTTGATCATGGCTTTCAGGTAGTCCAGTGATTCTTAAATTATCTCTCCTGGATCTATTTTCTAGTCAGTTTTTCCAGTGAGATATTTCACGTTTTCTTCTATTTTTTTTTTATTAATTAATTTATCTTGAATTATCAACCATCACTTCCATAAGCTTTTGCGTTTTAAATTTTTCCCCCTCCCTCCTCAAGATGGCGCACAATCTGATATAGGCTTTACATATACATTCCTATTAAGCATATTTTCACATTAGTGATGTTGTAAGTAAGAATTAGAACCAATAGGAGGAACCACCAGAAAGAGGAAACAAAGTACAACAGAAGAAAAAAATAGCAAATGGTATGCGTCAATCTGCATTCAAACTCCATAGTTCTTTCTTCGTATGTGCATAGCATTTCCCATCATGAGGCCTTTGGAGATGTCTTAGATCCTTGTGTTGCTGAGAAGGGTTAAGTCTATCATTGTTAGTCATCGTACAACGTGGCTGTTACTGTGTACGACGTTCTCCTGGTTCTTCTCACTTCACTCAGCATCAGACCATACATTCTTCTGACTTTGTTTTATTGTTTCTTGATCTCTCATGGAATTATTAGTTTTTATTTGCTCAGTTCTAATTTTTAAGGAATTATTTTCTTCAATGAGATTTTTACCCCTTTTTCCATTTGGCCAGTTTTTTTTTAAATAGTATTTTAATTTTTTTTCCCCAGTTACATGTCAAGACAATTTTTAACATTTATTCTTACAAGATTTGGAGTTCCAAATTTTTCTCCCTTTCCTCCCCACTTCCTAAAATAGTTGGCAGTTTGATAGAGGTTATATACATGCTGTCATGTAAAACATAGTTCCATATTAGTCACAGCTGTGAAAGAAGAAACAGATCAAAAGGAAAAAACTACAAAAAAGAATAAAGTAAGTGAAAAAAGTATGCTTCGATCTGCATTCAGAGTCCATCATTTCTTTATCTGGATGTGGATAGCATTTTCCTTCGTGAGTCCTTTGTACTTGCCTTGGATCATTGTGTTGCTGAGAAGAGCTGAGTCATTCATAGTTGATAGTTGATAGAAGCATAAAAAGGTAAACATGAAAGAGTAATCAAAAGGAATAAAGTTAAACTGTTTACATTCCTGTATGGGAAGATGATGCATGTAACTCCAAAGAATTTTATCATTATTAGGGCAGTTAGAAGGAGTCTATATAGGATAGAGGGCAATGAGTGTGCATCAGTTACCTTTAGATGAGCTCCCCCCCCCAAAAAAAAAGGAAGTAGTGAGAAAGAGGGATATGCTGGGAAAAGGGAGTGGTAGAATGGGGGAAATTTTCTCACATAATAAAAGCTCACAAGGAAAAGTTTTTACAATGGAGGGGAAATGGGGGAGTGGGGGTGGCTGGCAATGCTTGAACCTTACTCTCCTCTGATAGTTGACAGTATTTCTGATACTATGTACGTTTTCCTGGTTCTGCTCATTTCACTCAGCATCAGTTCATACAAGTCTTTACAAGTTTTTCTGAAATCTGCCTATTCATCATTTCTTATTGCACAATAGTATTCCATTACATTCACATACCACAGCTTATTCAGCCATTCCCCAATTGATGGGCATCCCCTCAGTTTCCAATATTTTACCACCATGAAAAGGGCTGCTATAAGTATTTTTGTACATGTAAGTCCTTTTTCCTTTTTTATGATCTCTTTGTGATACAGACCTAGTAGTAGTATTGCTGGATCAAAGGGTATGCACATTTTGGTTGCCCTCATCTTCCTGAGTTAAAATCTGACCTCAGACACTTACTGGCTATATGATCCTGGACAAGTCACTTAATCCCTGTTTGCCTCAGTTTACTCATCTGTAAAATGAGCTTAAGAAAGTAATGACAGACTGATTCAGTATCTTTGGCAAGAAAACCCCAAATGGAATCACAAAGAGTCACTGAAATGTGTGTGTAAAATATGCAAATACTTATTCTTTTTTTGTTATTTGTTAAATTCGGAATAAAAATAAAAATTTAAAAAAAGAGAAGTCAATCAGAAAGCATTATTAAGCATTTACTATGAGTCAGGCACTGTGCTAAGCACTAGAGATACAAAGAAAGGCAAAAACAGTTCCTGTCCTCAAGGAGCTCATGTTCTGATAGGTGAGACAAACGTGAAGATAACTGGTATATATGAGGTATCTACAAAGAGGGAAGCGCTAGCAGTTTAGAACCTGGTAGAAGGTGAGATTTGAACTGAGTCTTGAGGAAAATTAGGGAAACTAAGAGACAGAGGTGAGGAGTGAGAACATTCCAAGCATGACAAAAGCTCTGCGGTGGGCGAAGCCCAGTGTGATGCAAAGAATAGACGGGGCCACTGTATCAAGAGGGTATAGAGGATGGAAGTGTAAGAAGACAGACTAGAAAGGTAGGAAGGGGGCAGGTTTGAAGACAGTCCAGTGCCAAATAGAGTTTATATTTAGCCTTGGTCTTAAGAAGAAGTGATTAGAGTTTATTTAGTAGGTGGTAGGGCAATGCCTAGCGAGACTTTCCCTTTAGGAAATCCTTTCTGGAGGGAGGATGGATTGGAGTGGGGAGAGACTTGAGGCAGGGAGACCAATCAGAAGGCTGTCACCATAGTCCAAGCAAGAGATGCCAAAGGTCTGAACCAGAGTGTGGTCTTGTGAGCAGAGAGAAGGCATATATATGAGAGGACAAGATTTGGCAATGGATTGTCTATGTGAGGTGAGTAGAGTGAGTTGAGGTTGATAGTGAGGCTGTGAGCACTGGATAACTGGGAGATTGGTGGTGCCTTCAACAGTAATAGTTCAGAAGAGGGGAGGGTTTGGAGGGACACTACAGAGTTGTTCCAGAGCTGTGCTTTTGTTTCCTTTCTCATGGATCTCAGGTAGGAATTTAGGGTAGATAGTCTTACCAGTAGGTACAAAGAATTAAACAGCCCATCCACAGTCCCAGAAATTTATAAGTAGTAAATAATGTCCTATGAGATTCCCCATGATGCTATTGATTGTTAATAGGACATGTCCTGTGGGTTGTTTTTCCATGAGTATTTTGTTTCTTTCTCTCTCATCTGGTCCTTCACTCTTGTGATCAGAAATAAACATTGTTGATATCTCTCTGGTTAGGGTTAAGCAGGTGTTCTTGCCGTGCAATCTCTTTTCTCTCTGTGTGTAGTTAACTGGCTCACATAGGGTGTGAAACCGCCACACTGGCTTCATTAGAATCCTTCTCTAACCAACTGAGCTAACCAGTCCAGACTCTCACCAGGAGTAGTAAGGTGAATGAGATCAGTGCTTTTTAAAGTAAAAAACATTATCTTCCCTCATTTGTTACTCATCTTTTTTGAATAAAAAAGTGCTGGCCATTTGTAATCTCATTCCCTCTTGGTTTCAGATGGATGATGATGATGATGATGATGACATAGGAGACCATGATGATGATCACCCTGGGATGGAGGTGGTGTTGCATGAGGACAAGAAATACTACCCAACCGCCGAGGAGGTCTATGGACCCGAGGTGGAGACGATCGTGCAGGAAGAAGACACTCAGCCCCTCACGGGTAAGCCACTGTGGTCCTGGACTAAGCCCTGGGTTACTGAGGTAGTCTAGTTTAGTGGAGAGTCCTGGACTTGGGGTCAGAGGTAGCTGGGGTTTAAAAAAACCCCCGACACTTACTAGCTTACTTACTTAACCTCTCTGAATCTTACCCTTCTTATTTATAAAATAAGGATAATAATATCAGCAGTGCCTGTCTCAGAGGGGTTGTGTTAGAATCAGATGCTTCCACTTCCTTTCCTCTTACTTCTTGACACTCTGTAGTTTGGCTTGTAACCTCCTCATTCAGCCAGAGCCATTCTCCAGAGCTACTAATGTCCAAATCCAATGACTTTCTCTCTTTTTATGTTCAAGTTCTTTTGGTTGGCTGTTCATTTTTCCAGCCTGTTTCTTGACTTTGAACTTCATGTTAAAGTTGGACTCTGCTCACCTGGTGGGGAAAGGAGGGTGGGTGCTGTCCCAAGCTTCAGGCTGTTTTGCCCTGCTGTTTTCATAGATAGTTCTGGGGGGCTTTCACAGCTAATTTTTGGTGCTTCCAAGGTGGTGTGATCTGAGAGAGGTGAGGTCACCGCCTTCCTGTTCTTCACTCTAATCCTTACCTAAGAGGGGCTTCTGCTTCCTTTTAAGTGCAAGTACTTCTCCATAGCCTGGCCTTGGAACTGCTACCCAGAACTGAATAATAGGCAGTGGAGTTGCCAAACAAACAGTGCCTGGTCCTGCACCCAGTGCTAGCACAGGGGTCCCCTGTAATCTCTCTCTGACCAGTTGTTCAATCCCCTTATCCAGGCTGAGAGCTCTCAGAGCTGCTGCTGCTGCTGCTGCTGCTTTTGCAGCTACCTCCAAGGCCCAAGCTGGTGTTGCTGCTGCCTGCACTCAGGACCAGCCCTCTCCCCAGTGTCACAAATGTCTCTTTCTGATGTCCTAAGTTGTCTGGGGCTGGAAAAATGTCTCACCCTGACCTTTTGTTGGCTGTATTGCTCCAGAATTCCATTTGACCCATTATTTTAAAGTTGTTTGGAGGGGAATGTTGGAAGAGTTCTGCTGGAATGCTTCTTCTGCTTTACTGTCTTGACTCCACCCCCTTTCCAATGGCCATTTCTTAATCATCATCTTTCTTGACCTCTCTGCAGCCTTTGACACTGTCTGTCATGCCTTGATATTCTCTTCTCACTAGCTTTTGGAATACATGTCTCTTTTGGTTTTCCTCCTAACCTATCTGACTGTTCCTTCTCACTCTCCTCTGTTGTATCTTCATGCAAATCATACTTGCTACCTGTGGATGTCCCATGGGGTTCTGTCCTAGGCCTTGTTTTCTTGTCTCTGTATACTCTTTCACTTGGTGATCTCACCAACTCACATGGATTCAGTCATTATCTCTACGCTGCTGATTTTCTGATATATTTACCCAGCCCTGATCTCTGCTGATCTCCAGACTTACACCTTCGCCTGCCTTTTGGATATCTTTAACACTATGTCCCATAGACATATTATACTCGACAACTCCAAAGCTGAACTGATTATCTTTCCCCTAAAACCTTCCCTTCTTCTGAACTTCTCTGTTTACTGTTGAGGGTACCACCATTCTCCTGGTCACTCTGGCTTATAACCTAGATGTCATCCTCAACTCCTCTCTCTCTCACCTCCCATATTCAGTGTTGCCGAGGTCTGTTGTAATATCTCATCTATGACCCCCTCTTTCCTGACACGGCCACCGCCCTGATGGAGGCCTTCATTACTCTGAGTCTGGACTAGTGCAGTAGCCTCCTGGTTGGTTTCTGCCACAAGCTCTTCTTCCCACTCAAATCCGTCTTCCACTGATGAAACTGATTTTCCTAAAGCTCAGATCTCACCATGTTACCTCCCTACTTAGTACACTCCAGTGGCTCCCTGTCACCTCCAGGATCAAATATAAAATGTCCTGTTTGGCAGTCAAAGCTCTTAATAACCATCTGCTTCTTCTGGCTTCCCTGGCCTTCTTCAGGTCCCAGCTAAAATCCCGCCTTCTACAGGAAGACTTTCCCATTGCCTTCCCTCTGTTGATTATCTCCAGGTTATGCTGTCCATAGCTTGTTTGCACATGGCTATGTGCATGTTGTCTCCATCATTAGACTGTGAGCTCCTTGAGAGCAGGACCTGTCTCTTATCTTTCCCTGTATCCCCAGTGCTTAGCCCAATGCATGGCACGTGGTAAATACTTAATAAATGTTTATTAACTGATTGAAGTCACACGTCAATGAGTGTAAGTTAATATACTTGTAACTAAGAAAATGTGTGCCGAGGGCAAGTGCCAATTAATAAAATAAATAAAACTAAGTGGGATTACTCAGGGAAGGTTGGCTGGGCAAAATGATTTTTGATATATTAGCATTTAATCAGATTATTTGCTTGGGAAAAGGGCAGTGTTATTCAGCTGTCTTTAGGGAAGCAGAAAGGAGCAGGGGGAAGGCTGTGAGGTTTCCTTGGTCCTCACTGGTTGATACTTAAGAGATGGATACTCTGTTCTTGAGGTGAACTCTGAAGCTGACTCTATCCATTGTGCTACTCTGCCTCTGCCTCCATTGTCTACATACATAAAAAAATGTTTACATCCTTGAAGACAGTTGTTGAGAGTCTTCCCCTTAGCTTTTTCTTTTCCAGGTCAGACAAACCTAATTCATTTAACTTTTTCTGCTCTCTGACTTTAATCACTTTTGTTACTCTCCTCTGAGCAGGAAAGCACTTGGAAGTAGTGACAATCTCACAATCCATGTGATACCCTTTTAACATTTTGTGGTTATGATTTCTGGACCTCAACTCCGCTAACCTCTAATTATGGTCTACTCCAGTTATCTTCCAGGATGACTACATTTTGACTTCATATTGCTTGGAAGTCCCAAGATCGTAAACTCTGAAATTCCCTCTCTGGCCAGAATTTCCTGTCCAGCCCTGGCTGCATCATTCCCTTGCCAGGAGTGGGCTTTTCTTTTCTCTTCCATCTCATCTCTCCTCATCAATTGACTGAAATCAAGACTCAGCTCCTGTATCCTCTTTCTCTTTTTCTAAACAGCCATCAGTGTGGTCTCTCCATCCTTAGAGCATTGTACGATCCTGTTCACTTATCCCATTCTAAAGAACATCATGATTTAGATGAGAATTCTTTATGTGTTCTTCTTATCTCTCCAACATCATTATGTGCTTTCTGAGTTCAGTAGCTATTAGTGTATTTGCTTTGTATGGTGCCTTGCAGGTGTTCCCTAGTAGAGCAGGGTAAGGTAATGCTTAGAGAGCTGGCCTCAGAGCCAGAGGGATGATCTGGGTTCAAGTCTTACGTCAGACACGGATTGATTGTGTGACCCTGGGCAAGTCACTTAATCCCATTTGCCTCAGTTGTAAAATGGGGATAATAACAGCAGCTGTCTACCAGGGCTGTTGTGATGACCTGGAAAATTGTAAACATGAAATAAATGTTAGCTATTATTGTTAATTCACATATAGGAAAGGACATGTGTACATTTATTCTTGCCTGAATATGAGCCATATTTATTATATTTCTTCCTCAGAGCCAATTATTAAACCAGTAAAAACCAAGAAATTCTCTCTGATGGAGCAGACCTTACCTGTCACTGTGTATGAGATGGAGTAAGTAGCAAAGTTTTCACCTCCTGTACTGAAACAGCTTGGAGATAGAGCGTGGTATGTCATTGGGTTGTGGAAACATCATTTCTCTTAACCAGAGTCAGTTTGGGCTATCAGCTGGGAAATCTAACTCTGGCTAAGTGTGTGCTGGTTGATCTGCAGTTTCCATGTCTTTAGACTTTTACTTGGTGGTAGTGTAAGTGAACTTCTGAAACAAAATGAAAAGCTATTAATTTTTGATGTTGTGTTAAATAGCATGATTGTCAGGATCCCAGCAGCAGCCTTGTTTTTGATTGAAAGGCATATAAATGTTTTTCAAACACATTCACCCTTTATTTGGAATGGGGAGAGCACCTGCTGATGGAAATAGGTTCAGAAACACTGGGCCTGACCATAGAATGAATGCTGCTTTTGAATATACTTTCTCTGTGAAATGTACTTGAGATTATACTTGAGTGGCACTGATATTCTCATTGCTCAAACATCTAAACAAATTTCTGTTGATGTTTTTTGTGTACCCTAGATTTCCCCTTGTATTATTTTTCCCAGAGAAGCGTCCCATGTTACAAAAGATACTTTTAAAGAAAAAAGGAGGAAAAACAATCAGTAAAACTGATTAAAACATACAAAAAAACCCCCCCAAAAGTGAATGCAGTGTTCTACACCCATAGGCCTTCTGCCTCTGCAGAGGAGTGGGGAGGTGCCTCCTTCCTTCTCTTCTTTGGAGCCATTCTTGTTCTTAGTGATTTGGGAACATTCACCTTGGAATTGTTTTGTGGTTTTCTTGTATCACAGTCCTTCAGTATCCTCAGTGGTGGCAAATCTTCATTCTTGAAAGGTGGATTTAACTTTTGAAAGTAGTCAAAAGGCATCTGCAGCTGCAGTGTGTTACAGCGGATAGAGCGCCAGCCTCAGGGTCTGCAGGATGCAAGTTCATGTCCTTCCTCTGACCTGTACTGATTTTGTGGCCCTGGATAAGTTACTTAACCTCCTAGAGCTCCAGGCTCCTCTGTAAGACCATAAGTTATACTATTATCCTTCCATACTGGTCAAGTGAGTTTAGTCAGTAGACATTCTCTCCTCTGACCAAATCCAAGATTCAGACATCTGGAGCCTAGGCTGGTGATCAGACTGCCTCACGTCATTCTGGATCACAAATGAGCTATAGTTATGAAGTAAAGAGACCAGTTTTCTTGTGCAGCTTGTGACTTAGGTCAGATGGTAATTCCAGATCATAAATTCCAAAGGAGATTTCAATTGGAATAACACTGTAGCTTCCTGAGATGGCTGCTTTGAAGTTGGCAACACTCATTTGGATGTATTGATGCTATTGTGTTTCAAAAAAGAAAAACAGGAAAACAATCAAAAATAAAAACTTTATAGTTGCAATATAATATATACATGTATATATTTAGAGAGGGAAAGAGCCATATATGTATATAGATAGATATAGATAATATATCTATAATCACATAGATATATATCTATCTGTAGTAATTTTCCAAGGCATGCATTTCCGGGTGTAGTCCTGCTGTTTAAGCGACTTTGGTAGTGAACCATTCCATTCTGGGTGCCATAGTATCTGTGTAGATACAGAAGTAGTGCTTCCATTTTCATTTTCGCAGGCTTTCCAATTGTTAAAGTCACAAGTAGAAAATCTTGTTTTACTTCAGAACTCTTTCCCAAATGTTATGAAACTGAAATATGCATAATATTGGGTGTTTGGGTTTTCTTGAATAATTCAAGAAGCATAGCTCCCCTGCTTGAGGCCATTTGAAACCAGCCCTTCTTTCTTTCCAGTTTCTTGGCAGACTTGATGGACAACTCAGAGCTGATCAGAAATGTTACCCTTTGTGGACATCTTCATCATGGCAAAGTAAGGAAGGCCTGGAACCGCTGTGGAACTGGATTTCTCTTTATTTTCATTAGTGGTTCATCATCCCTGAAAATTGAATGGATGGGGGGGGGGGCAGGTAAGCAAGTTTCCTGATTCCAGAGGGTCAGTCCTTGCCATGGAATCATACTATGAGTGGCCAGCATTCTTGTCTCACAGCAGATGTTTATAAGTCACTTGCCTTCCTGAGCCTTGTGTCTACAACTTGAGAGAAGAGAGATTGAGCTTTTAGTTGACTTACTGCCTTACTCTGATTTTTATGAGTTTTTATTTCCTAGGGGATACCTGTCTGAGAGGCAATTCATCTTATTTCATTTGGAAATTAACCTCTGGCCTCAGAGTTAATACTTTTCTCTCCCTCAGTCCTGCCTTTTCTCCTACCACTTCTCTTCCCCTTTTCCCTAATTATGTTGGGGTTTTTTAAAAAAAAATAATTTGATGTTATACCTTTTCTAATGTAGTTGACAGATTTCATTTTTTCTTCCCTTGAAGACTTGTTTTGTAGATTGTTTAATAGAGCAGACTCATCCGGAAATCAGAAAGCGCTACGATCAAGATGTAAGTAGACTACCATTGTGGGTGACTCAGGTTGAATCCTAGTGTTCTCTCTGTCATCTCCTTTTACTTTATGAGGAGATGGAAACTACCAGATGCGGCTTTGTAGTTGTTGGTTCTGCTGATGGTCTCTGAGAGGGTGGTGTGAACTCTAATTTGGGTGTAGAGAATCTTCACCTGCCAGGTCTTGGCAGTCTCTTCTCACCCTGGAGTATATCTTCTGTCCTGATATATCTAGAGTTATGCACTTTATCCCTTCTTATTAGTAACCAGTCTGCGAATACACATTGGGGCTTGTTTTCAGTATACCTAGTGAATACCTCTAATATCTAAATTCCTCTAAGTGAGGGCAGAGTAGCTAGAAGTCTCACTGCAGTAAATGCTGGCAGGAAAATATTTTTGAAATATTTAATATCAGGAATCCTTAGTTCCAGGGGAGCCATTGGGTAGTGGGGAAGAAGGGAAAGTGAGTGACAAGGAACCTATTGGCAATTAAATTCAGGAAATACCAGTTGACTGTTCTGACATACAGGGTTTCTGAGAAGGCTGCTCTGCTGCTGTTACCCCTCTAAGGGCCCTTCATGGGTTTGAGTGATTATATCCATCTTACTGCCCCAGGTTTTACCCCTTATTCTCTAGTGTCCTCCTCCACAATTGCATATACTTTATTCACATATCTAGTGACTGTCTCCAGTTGGACAGACACTGTCCTAAATGCCAGATTTTAACTGTGGGGTCTCATGCACTTTCAGTTCCTTTTTTTGCTTATAGTACTTATGAAGGTTAGGATGTTGTTTGTCCAGGACAAGGAATCTAAATCTGGATAATAATAATGAGAGCCCTTTATTTTTTTTTCAGCTCTGCTACACAGACATCCTATTCACTGAGCAAGAGGTAAGTGCCTAGGAAGACCAGCTCTTTTTGACTTGATCTAGCAGCTATCAGATCAGTAAGGTGTGAGGATGAATGACAACACCATGGAGTGACTTATAACACATCTTCCTTCCCTCTGGCATCTTAGTCTCCTTCTGGCACCATACTTCATAGTTTAGGGTGGGGTGGGGAGTCACATTTTAAGGTAAACCGTTTCTGCTTGAATTTGATATGACCTATAGAGCCAGTAGCAAGAGACAGTATCTGTGCCTATAGTTGCAAAAATTCAGCACAGATCTAAAATTAGCAATATATTAAAAACAAGTCACTTAACCCTGATAGCTTCACCAAAAAAAAAAGCATGTAAGATAAAGATGTTACTCTGCAAAGAGGGTATAATCGTATGTATGTAGCATACAGAAATACATTCATAATAATAGCTTATGTTTTGTAGCAAGATATTATAATAGCAGAATACTCTATTGTATTTTTAATTTGCTTGTAGTAATCGCCTGGTAAGTTAAATAGCCATAAGTGGGTATATCCTTATTTTACAGATGAGGGGATAGGTTCAGAGAGGTTTAAGTGATTTTCCCAAAGTTTCAGCACAAGGATTTGAGGCCAGGTTTTGTAGCTCTCAATCTAGCCCCTTTTGCCTTAACATGAGTGTGCTACCACCCATTCTTTGGTCTATGAGTCGGTGGGGCGTGTGTTTGTCTGTCTCTGTCATCCATGTTTTCATTTCTTCTCCTCACCTTTCTTCCTTAATAGATGAACAGTTTATAGAACTAACGTGTTTGTGTGCGCATACCCATACAATAGCTCACATTTTCCTGGTGCCAGAGTTTGCAAGACACTTTGATCACAAACATTTGCTTTATTTTGCAAGGCATCATGGTGTGGACTGAGTCGTGGGCTGGAGCCTCAGATTCTGCCTCACTTACTAGCAGTGTGAGACCCTGGGCGCTTGTCCAGCCGAAGCCCACTCTTTAGGCTTCAGTTTTTCTATCTGTGAAATGAGGAGGTTGGACTCAGTGACCTCTTCCATCCATGTCAGCCCTTAATCCATGGTGTCTGAGGTAGAAAGCCTGGGCTTTATTGTCCTCATGTGACTTAATCAAGGTCATATGGGAATCAGAAGAATTACATGTCAAATTCATCGACTTCTTGCTCTACATTTAGAGACCTTTATATTGAACCACACATAATATCACAGATTTAGAGCTGGAAAGGACCTTAGAGGTCATCAAGTCTCATTTGTAGTTGAGGAAACTGAGGTCTGGAGTAGTGAAAGGGAAGTGATTTATCCTAAGTCACAGAGCCAGTGGATGTCAGAGGCAGGGTTTAAACCTAGGATCTGTCCTCTAAAGTACACGAACTCTCTTTCTTTCTCTGTCCCTGTCTCCCTTTTTCTCCATCTCTCCCTTTCTCAGTCTCTTTTACTGTCTCATCATACATATGCTCGAGTACATATACGTACATATTTCTATAGAGAGAGATATATGTAATATACCATGAATCTGCAATTTCTGCTCTGATTTCCCTTTTCTTCCCTCCCCAAACCCTATAGTTAACCAGCTGAACTTTGCATTATCTTCTTTGCACTGTATTCTCAAGTCTTATATACCCTTGGCCTTTCACCACTCATTCCTTGCTCAGACCCACCTCTTGGTTACACCTACCATCTGCTTCCTTCCTTCCTAGACCAGTGTTGCAGAATAGTGATGGAAGAAGTCACACAATTATACTTCCCGGGTACACTACAAGTTTGTTATCCACTCTCAATTGGACCCTCAAGGAAATCCCTTTACTCTTCCTTAATTGACGGGACTGTGTTCCCTCCTGTGACTGTTCAGAATCTTTTCTTCTTTCAAGCCTCCTATGCCAAGCTCTTTTCCCTCCTCAGAGGATGTTGCTTCATACTTTACTGAAACAGGAGGCCATTTTTTTTTGAGCTCCCCATTCTCCTGTCCTTTAATCCAGTCTCATGATGAGATGGCCTTGCTCCCAAGGCCAGCCATCTCTGTTTGTGCCCCCTGATCTCAGAAGATCACTGTCATTATCATCATGTCTCTCTCTCTATTCTTCAGTCTCTTCCTTCCTTACTGCCCACAAATATGCCCAGAATTCCCTCCTCCGTCCTTAGAAAATTTTCACTTGACTCTACCAATATCCTCCCCTCCCCTTCCCTGCCTAAGCCATCCTCCCTTTCACAGCTAGACTCCTAGAAAAGGCTGTCTACACATTCTGCCTCCAGTCCTTTTCCTCTCCCTTACTCCTCAACCACTTAGAGTCTGACTTTGCCCCTCATCACTTAACTAAAACTGCTCTCTCCAAAGTTACCAGTGACCTCTTAATTGCCAATGAAATGACTTTTTCTTAGTTTGCATCTCTGTAGCTTTTGATGCTGGTGACTCTACCTATCCAGATACTCTTACCTTTCCAGGTTTGTATGACATTCTTCTTTCTTGGTTCTCCTACCTCTCTGGATGCTTTCGTTCTCCTTTACTGCCCTCTCATCCTTGTCCTGCCACTAACTAAATACACCTGGCCTAGGCCCTCTTCCCTCCCTACACCTTCTCAGTGATCTCTTTATCTCCTGTGGGTTCAGTTATCACCTCTATGCTGATGACTCCCAGGTGTATATATTGAGGCCTAATCTGTCTTTCTGAACTCCACTTTGACCTCTCCAGCTGCTTAGTAAACATACCACCTTGTGTCCCATTGACATCTCATACTCAGTAAACCCCAAACAGAACTTGTCATCTTGTCCCTCAAACCCACCTTCTCTTTCTAACTTCCCTACTTATGTTGAGGGTGCTACCATCCTTCCCATCATCCACATTCAGAATTCAATCAGCCTCAGTTCTTCACTCTCATCGCTGCTCCCTATCACATCCTGTTACTCTGTCATCACCACATGTCTCACATCTAAGTCCTTCTTGACAATCATAGTCACCTTGATGTAGGCTGTCAGCACCTCTCCACTGGACTGTTGGAATAGCCTTCTAGATTCGAGTCTCTCCTAATTCATCTTCCACACAGTTGCCAGAGTGACATTTTTTTTATTAATTAATTTATTTTTAGTTTTCAACAGTTCACTTCCATAAGCTTTTGAGTTTTAAATTTTCTTATCCTCTCTCTTCACCTCCCTCCCCAAGAAGGCATGCAGTCTGATAAAGGCTCTACATATACATTAGAGTGATATTTATAATGCATACATCTGACCATGTCACTTCCCTGCTCAAGAAGTTCCAGTGGCTCCTTCTTGCCTCTAGGATAAAATACGAACTCTTTTGTTTGACATTTAAAGTTCTTCACAGTCTGTCTCCAACCTGCGTTTCCAGACTAATTTCTGAATTGGGCCCCCAAATTTGAGCTGTTCTTCCTCCTCATCTCTGCTTTTTCGAAGCCCTAGCACCACTTCCTACAGGAGGCTTCTTCTGATTCCCTCCCAGCTGCTAGTGCCCCACTCATGAAATTACTTTGTATTTATTGTGTATATTTACTTATATGTGTACAAGTGGTTTCCCCTCGTAGAAAGTAGGCTTCATAAGGGCAAGAACAATTTTAGTTTTATCTTTGTGGGTGCCCCCTCTATCCCTGCCACAAGACCCTAGCACAGTACCTGGTACACAGTCCTTGCTCATTAAATGTTTATTGATTGATTTTTGTCATTGTAGAGAATTCCTGGTATAGGAACTCCCTCCACAAACATAGATTATAAAGGGTATGATTTAATAGATAAGTCATGGAGATTTGCTTGAAGCACATAAGGGTTAATGAGGATCTCAAAATTGGTAAGCATCAGAGGCAGATTTGAACCTAGCCCAGCAGTCTATCCATTGTGTTCTGCTGCCCCCTCTCAGAATCTGAACATGCGCGTATGTAGATACACACGTGTACATATGTCATTATGTAAACATAGGCACTATGTCTAATTCTGTTTATTAGTTTCCTATTGTTCTTTTTTTATGTCCCCTGTTATTTTAAAATGAAATAGATTTTAAAATCTAAAGTAAAAACTACCCCAAAATAAAATCACTTTTTACTTAAGTCACTGAATTGATTTTTTTTTACTTTAGACCAGTCACACTGGATTAAAACATTTATTACCCATATTAGAGATATTAGACCTAGATTTCTCTAAATAAACTTTGTATGGTCTTCATACTACATTCCATCTCTCTTCACTATTCCAGATTTATCATAGGGAATCTCTCCCCACCTCATTAAAAAGAAAGGAAAAAATAATATATCAGGATCATAGCAGGAAAGCAAAAAGATCATAGCAGAATGGGCTTAGATAAAAATCGCATACTGTGTGTGTGAGGAAGGGGGCTCTTGGGGAAATAGTAGGGTTATCAGTGCATCTTTAGTTGGCAAGATCTCCAGAACAGAATGACCTCAGTGCCCTCTTATGTTTAGATCTCACCTTCTAACTTTATCCTTTCAGAGGGGTGTTGGCATCAAAAGTACTCCAGTAACAGTGGTCCTGCCAGATACCAAGGGAAAGTCTTACCTCTTCAATATCATGGACACGCCAGGTGAGCGTGCCAGTATCTGCTGACACAACTAATAGGTCATTCCTTAACCTTTTAACGTCTCAGCCACATCTTGCTTTCCTTCATGCTCTCCATTTCAAGAGTAGACAAGTTCATGCTTGGATGTCAGTCAATCAATAAACATTTATTAAATATCTAATACGTACTAGTGCTAAGTTCTGTGGATATAAAAGGAGGCAAAAGACAGTCCTGCCCTCAAGGAACTTACAGTCTAATGGGGGAAACAACATGCAAACAAATATATACAAAATAATCTATATACAGGAGTCATGGGGAGAGACTTAAAGCAGGCAGATACTACAGCAAGCTATTGCAATAATCAAGGCATGAGGTGATGAGGGGCTGCCCTAGAGTGGTTGCAGTGGCAGAGGAGAGAAGGGGGCATTTGAGAGATGATGCAAAGGTGAAATTGATAGGCCTGGGTAACACTTTGGATGTGGGGGGGTAGGGGTCTGGTAAGATACAGTGAGAAATCCAGGATGACTCTTAGGTTAAGAGAGTGAGGGACGGGAAGGATGGTGTTACCCTGTACAGTAATAGGGAAGGTAGGGAGAGTTTGTGGGTTCTGTTTTGGACATAATGTGTTAAAGATGTCTAATGAACATTCATTTCAAGATGTCTAAAAGGCAGTTAGCTATGTGAGATTGGAGGTCAGCAGAAATGTTGGGGCAAGATAAGTAGATTTGAGAATCGTCAGCTTAGAGATGGTAATTAAATCCATAGGAGCTGATGAGATGACCAAGTGAAGTAGTATAGAGGGAGAAGAGAAGAGGGCCTAGACAGAATCCTGAGGGACCTATGTTCTAGGGGGGGTGATCTGGAGGAAGATTCAACAAAAGAGATAGAAAAACCAAAAAGAAGTCAGATAGGTCGAAGGAAAGTCAGGAGAAACTGGCATTCTGAAAATCTGGAGAGAAGAGGGTATCCAGGAGTAGAGAGTGATCAACAGAGGCAAGGGCTGCAGGGAGGTCAGAGAGAATGAGCATTGAGAATAGGCCATTGGATTTGGCAACTAAGAGATTGTTAATAACTTTGGAGAGAGCAGTTTCAGTGGACATCCATCACGCTTTAAATCCCTCCTACCTAGGAAGGAATAATGAATATGTTATGTAATATGTAATAACATACATGTTATAAAGATATAACACATATTATATAGTCAATATATATATTTGTAATATTGTGTTACTATTTTACATTATATATTGTTAAATATATTATGTGTAATAATAAAGGGCCTTTTAAACAGCTCCTTTGGCTGACCAGTTCCAGGCATCCCATGTCACCCTTGTTTCTATTCCAGTGCCATATAGTTGAAGGAAACCATGACTTCCCTAGTAGGTTTTCCCTCTCGATCTAGGGCAGGGGTGGGGAACCTGTGGCCTTGAGGCCCCATGTGAGCCTCCAGGTCCTCAAGTTCAGCCCTTAGACTGAATCCAAACTTCACAGAGCAAATCCCCTTAATAAAAGGATTTGTTCTGTAAAACGTGGATTCAGTCAGAAGGCCATATCCAAGGAGACCTAGAAGGCTACATGTTGCCTCAAGGCTGCAGGTTCCATACCTCTGATTTAGGGTATCCCTAGATCAGAATTATAACCCAGCCGTCCCCTACTTTTTAATTCTACTTCTTCCCCCTCCAGAGCACTGGTACTGCTCATGACCCCCTCCCGCCCCTGTCTTTCTCCTGAATTCTGAACTGTCCCTTGACACCTCCTGGGCCAAGAAAATGTGTTTGTTATAGAAAAATAGGCTATCAGAACTGAGAGATAATCTAGTCCAATTCCCAAATGAGGCAGACAAGGCCCAGGGGGGCAGTGACTTTTCCAAGGTCAAACAATAATTAGTGGAAGAGCAAGATATAAAGTTCATACTGTCTCCTATCCCCTTTTCAAAGGATTTTTTCTCTGCTTTCTAGAGCCACTATCTGCTAGTTGAATAAATGTATTTGTATTAATCTGTTAGTGGGTACAAATGTGTATCCCTTCTTACCTAATAAGGGCTTTTGTAGAAGAGGATTAACTCAGTTTGTCTTATCAATGGGAATTTCAGAATTGTGTGAGACTTTGGGTTGGAGGAACGTGAGGAGGTGTTACAGGTCTGGAGGTTGTCTATAGTTGCAGTAACCGGGCTGAAGTAAGAGAGCCAGAGACTTTCGTTTGAGCCATTGCAGGCAGGTAAGAGTACCAGTGCATTAAGCTGTACCCACGGACTGCCCTTTCTGCATGCTTGGTTTTTTTTCAGGACATGTGAATTTTTCTGATGAAGTAACAGCTGGCTTACGCATCTCCGATGGGGTAGTGCTTTTCATTGACGCAGCTGAGGGGGTGAGCATTTGCTTTTGTGAGATATTGGACAATATTTTGTTAACCCCCTTCCTTGTAATTGCTGCAAATAATTCCCAGAACAAAAGAACAAGAAAGGTTCAGAAGTTTTGGTGATTAGTTTAAGGTAGTTGTGTGATTAAATTTAGTTTTGCTCTGATTTAAGGACAGTGAATCAAATTCAGCATCCGTTCTTAAAAGGTGTGTAATCACTCCTTTTCCTTGGTAGAGCTGATCAGTGGAATTCAACACGATTTGGGAAATGAAGAGATAACATTGTAATCTGGAGGGAGGGGGCAGGTATAAATGTATTTTAAATATTTGCTCTAAATTAATGATTTTATTGAGTTAGTGGTAGGAGTTAGAAAGATCTGCTGAGAAAGAATATGATGGTTGGGTGGACAAATTCAAGGTTCCACAGGCCCTTGTCGGGTAGTCAGAAAGCCGCACCAATATTTATAGTTTCCTCACTTATGTGCCATTGGTGAGCTGGCCAGTAGGGGGAGCTATTAGTTCTTACCCAGATAATCCTGCTTCTTCAAGGTAATAATAACAAAAACTAGCGTTTTTATAATGCTTTAAAGTTTGCATAGTTCTTTACAAATGGTGCTTCCTTTTGGCTAATCACAGGTCTTGGCTTACCAATTCCAAGAATAAGTGAGGGAGCTTGTCTGCTGTCTAAACCCTCATTCCTGCTTTGCCCATGTTAAAAGATAGGGCCCTTTGCAGCCATGCTGTGGGGCTTTCATGGCTTCTCCTCCATTCTGTAAGCCTGGTGTTCCTTAGGTGATGCTGAATACTGAACGGCTGATCAAGCACGCGGTGCAGGAGAGGCTGGCCGTCACTGTGTGCATCAACAAGATTGACCGGCTGATTCTAGAGCTAAAGCTTCCCCCAACAGATGCCTATTACAAGCTGCGCCACATTGTGGATGAAGTCAATGGATTAATCAGGTATGGGGGAGGCCATTTAGAGTGTGCTTTCCTTCTTCAGTACTATTGAGTTTTTTAGAGATTGTAACCCTGAGGGCCCGAGGTTGTGGTTTGGGAAGACTGGATGGAGGTGAATTGTTGTGATGTCAAGGAATAGAGTTTCCTGGGGTCAGAACCCAAGAGGCCCAAAGTGATGAAGTGACTGCCCAAGGCAACACAGGTAGTAGTAAGAAGCATCAGGATAATTTGGCCTAGGTAAAAGAGGGACAGAGATTGATGGGATTTAATAACTGAGTTGGTGTGTTTGACATAGACAGAAATGCTGCTGCTGACCCACCATTGACAAGATGTGTGCTCTGAGGTTTTTTTTCTAGTGAGATCAAGGCTAGGGACATAGGCTGTGGCCATAAAAGGATCGAACCATAAACTTGGTCTCTCGTCACTGCTAATAAGCCAAATGACCTAACTGCCTCAGACCTTCAGGAAAAGGATTATTAAATAAGTGGCAGCAAGTAGCTATCCTTGTTTTCACTATAAATGGACCTAACTCCAAACTGCACAGGTTCAGAAAGAATTTCCCAACAAAGCATTGGAAAGCCTGTGATGTATTGCATAGTATAGAGAGTCAGCATTCTACACAGTTGGAGTCAGGAAAGACTGGGTTTGGAGTATGCCTTTGGCATTTAATAGATGTGTGATCCTGGGCAAGTCATTTAACTTTCTGAGCTGCTTTCTAATCTGTAAAATGGAGATTGTAATAATAGCACCTGACTCACAGCATTGTTGTGAGACTTAGATGAAATCATGTGTGTAAAGGACTTTTGCAAACCTGAAAGGGCTATGAAAATGTCAGCTGCTTGCACGAGCTGCATGAAAGCTTTATGAAGCCGCAGCTGCAGCTGGTGCTACTGATGTTACCATCACTCCTACCATCTACCACGGTCAGTGGGGTAGGTGCAATCTTGTGTGAAAACAGAGAAATAGACAGAATGATCTTTTGGGGTCTCTGCCAGCCCTAGGGTTCCATAAAACAGCCGTCCAGATCCATCTGTAAAGATATTTTGTCCCTTAGAGTTCTTCCACTTTACGGAATTGAGGGTAGTGTCTGAGCAGCACACAAGACTGCTTCTAGGAGTCTTTTGGTTTCTTAGCCCCCTCTTTTGTAGTTTCTGTTGCTTTATAATGTAGTCTGTCTGTTCCTCTTCACTTATCCCGCCTTGTAGCTGTGAAATCTTCTCTAATCCGACAAGCATTTATTAAGTTAAGTACTTGCTCTGTGCCAAGCACTGGGATTACAGAGACAAAACATGAGCAGTCCCTGCCCCTGAGGAGTCAGCGTGCTCCTTGGGAGAGGGGAAGGACGAGGGATGTTGGGGAACTGCAGCATATTAACTGATTAGTAAATGCACGGTTATTTGAGGACGAGTTGAGCACCCACAACTAAGGGTACCAGGAGAGGAATCCAGAAAGAGATGACACATGCTGAGCTTTGGATGTGAGGAGGAGGCAGCTCATGATTCCAGTACAGAAGATGGAAAGCCTGGGATGAGGCCCAGAAGATGGCTGAGTGCTGAGCTCAGGAAGCCATGCGGGCCACTTTGCCTGTGATGGAGAATGGCGAGGGAAGCAAAGACAAACTGGGCCAGATTGTGAAGGACTTTAAGTGCCGAGCTAAGTTTGTGTTTTATCCTAGAGGCTGAAGGGCACTGCTCACAGTTCTGGGGCCGAGGAGTGACATGGTCAGACTTGTGCTTTAGGAAAGTGATTCTGCCAGCTGTGTGAGAGATGGATAGGAGAGGAGGAATTAAGAGGCAGCATGTCTGAGGTTTGCCACATACTTTTTCTACAGGAATTCATTCAACACATTGACTAAGTGTCTACTGTGTATGGCATCCTGTTGCTAGGGAGATAAGAAGTTTAGATAGCCATTGTTCATGTTCTCATGGAAGTTGAAGTCTAATGGGATTTTATATACCCACAACCAACTTTCGTAATCCATGAGAAGTACCTATGAGGGTTCAAAATGCTTGTGCAAGCCAGGATGCTAAGGTTATTATCCATAAGGAAATGCACAGGATGGAGGTGAGAAGAGCTTGGCTACAACAAAGTAGAGGTAGAGGGCAGTAGTATCACCCTGGGTAGGCCACTTTGTCTTTTAGCCTCCTCTTCCTCATCTTTAAGAAGAGGATAATGGTACCTAGAGAACCTGCCTCACAGGCATGTTATGTGGGTCAAAATGAGATTTGGCAGTCAACAAACATTTGTTAAGCACTTAATATGTGCCAAGCCCCTTGCTAATTTTTGGAGATACAAAGAAAAGTCCCTGCCCTCGAGGAATTTGCATTTCAATGGTGGAGATAATCTGTACATATGTAGGAATTTATAAAGATATATATCGAATAGATGGAAGGTAACCTTAGACAGGAAGGCTAGTCTGTTGGCTGAGGGAACACAGAAAGGCCTCCTACAGAAGGTGGCACTTGTGCTGAGTCTCCAAGGAAGCCAGGGATTCTACGGAAGCATTCCAGGCATGAGGCCAGCCAGCACAAACATATCAAGACTATAGATAGAACATCCTGTGTCAGGAACAGTAGATAGGCTAATGTGGCTGGGTTACAGAGCACGTGAATGGGGAGTAATGTAGAAGACTGGAGACATTACAAGAGCTTGAAATATTCGATTCTAGAGGTAAGTGGGAACCACTGGAGTTTACTGAGTAGGGCTTGGTGATGTGGTCAGCCTTGTTCTTTAGCAAACCACTTTAGCAGCTGTGTGGAGGTTGATTTAGAGCAGGGGAAAAGCTAAGGCAGGGAGGACCAATTTAGGAGACCATTGTGTATATGAGAGGTGATAAGGACCTGAACTAAGGTGGTCACTGAGAGAAAGAGAACAGGTCAGATGCAAAGAGATGTGGTGGAGGAAGAAAACAAGATTTGGCAGTGAATTAGATATTTGGGGTAGAAGAGAGTAAGGTGTCAAGGATGGCACTGAGGTTGTGAACCTGAGTCACCAGGAGAATGATGGTGCCCTCAGCTACATGAGGAGGTTCAGAAGAGAGCAGGTTCTAGTGTAAAGCGTCCAATAGGCAGTTGGTGATGATGAACTGGAGTTCAGGAGGGAAACTAAAGCCAAATATGTAGAACAAGGAGTCCTCTGCATAGAGGTGATAATTGAAGCAATGGAAACTGATGGGATCACCAAGTAAGAGTATATAGAAAGAAAAGAGGTGGGTCCAGTCAGAGCCATGAGGTTTACCTCCAGTTAGGGGATGTGGTATAGAAGATGAACCAGCAAAGGAAACTGACAAGTAGCAGTCACACAGGTAGGAGGAGAACCAAGAGAGCAATGTCATGAAAACCCAGAGAGGAGAAAGTGGTCAACAGTATCAGATATTGCAGAGAGCTCACAAGGGAGGAGGATTCGGGAGAAACCATTAGATCTGGCAGTTTAAAAGTTCTTGGTAAATATGGAGAGCAAACTTTCAGCTAAGTGAGGAAGTCAGAAGTCAGATTGCAGAGGGTTCAGAAGAGAGTGAGAGGAAAGGCAGCATAGATGCAGCCAGTTGGCTTTTTCTAAGAAGATTAGCTGAGAAAAGGAGAGAAATGGGGGAGAACTAGTGGGGAGGGCAGCATCTGGGGAAGGTTTTTTTAAGGATAAGGAGACTTGAGCGTGATTGCAAACAACAGGAAAGGAATCAATAGATATGGAGAGATTAAAAATTAGAGTAGGGATGATGGAGCAATGTACTAGAGATAGGTTGGAGGGCATATGGAGAGGGCTTGGCCTTGGTGAAAAGAATCACCTCTTCATCAGAGACACCAGTGATCAGTTGGGGATGATGTCAGCAGGATGTGTGATGAGGAAGAAGGGAGAAGAGAGAGCTTTCTGCTAATCACTTTGATGTTTTGTGAAGTATAAGGTAAGATTCTTGGCTGAAAAGGTGGGGGAATGGCTTGTTGTGGGGGGATTTGAGGAGAGAAGAGAAGGTTTGGAACAGCCACTGAGGTCAGTGGGATAGAGAATCAATTAGGTAGGAACAGGAGGGTTGCTTTGTTGTAGTGACTGCACAGTTGACATAATATGAACTGATAAAACTCATTCTGAGGTAAGACTGGGAAAATAGAGTGGCACCAGATTAGAGGGTCTTGAATGCCAGGCTAATAAAGAGTTTAAGATTTACTTAGTATGGAAGAAGGAACTTTTGGTGGATTTTGAACAGAGATGTATATTCTAGAGAGATTTGTCTGGCAGCGTTGTAAAGGATGGGTTGGTATGCAGAGAGAAGGCAAGCTTAAAACCCTGGGAGGATGAAACTTCAGGAGTAGAACAGTAATGAGAATCTGTATTAGGGTAGTGGCAAGGGGATGCAAAAAGAATTAATAGACTATTAGGACTTGGTGTCTGATGGACTTGGCAAGGGACCGGGAAAGTCCTTAGATAAAGCTGTACTTTGCTCAAGTACAGTGCTCAGGAGGCAGAGGGGCCATCTCCAGTCATCCTGATCTGTGTCTTGCCACTGCACCCAGACGGCTCCAGAGGAGAGAGTGAGGCTTGTTTAAATCCAGTTCACTTGCAAGTCATGACATCACCTTCCTGATGTCATGGTCCTCACTGAGAGCAAAGGACCAACTCTGCTCCAACCAACTCAGCATTTCTCAGACTCTAAATCTATGATTCTATGTCAGGACAGAGGGAGGAAAGCCTGACTCATAGTCCTAAGCTGAAACCATAGGAAAACAGATTCACCGTAAAGACACTGCATTAAAACAATAAAACAGAATGGTACTGCATAGTAGGGAGAATTTTTCAGCAGATGATAACCTACAAGGAAAACGTGTTTGCATTAGTGACTATTCCCAAGTGTATTAGTCTAATTGCTATTTCTCTAAAATTCATTCATTTCTTGGCACAGTTGATTTGTTCTGTACTGCAAAATCTTTGTCTTTGGTCTCTGGTTTGCCCCTTGTCAGTCCCGTGCAGTTAACTTTTCCCAAGATTATATATAATATTACCAACTCTGGGAAGTCAGCTTGTTAATGAGAGTTAGGAAACGGCTCCATCGTATCAGTCTCTTGGACCAAGCTATTGGCGATGCTGAGCCTATTATGTAAGCATGTTTAGGCGATTGGATTGTGTGATGATACTCCCACACACACAGCTACATGCTGTGTGTCAGTACTATCCCATCATCCAAGTGTCCATACCAGCTTGTCATTCTGTTTGTGGCCATCTCTGTTTCAGCATGTATTCCACCGATGAGAACCTGATCCTCTCTCCGCTTCTGGGCAATGTCTGTTTTTCCAGCTCCCAATACAGCATCTGTTTCACACTGGGCTCCTTTGCCAAGATCTATGCTGACACTTTTGGTAAGCTGTCTGTCTTTTTTACTTCAACAGAGTTTCTCATTCTGAATGGATGGGATTGTGGCATCCCGCCAGAATCTTCCGTGGGAGCCTTTTTCTGACTTTTACTGTATTTTGAATACTCTTTTCCTTCCCCAGGCCACTTCTTAGAATCAAGTGGATTATGAATACTAAAGAAGTATAAATGATAGGAAAAAGATAAAGAAAAAAGTGAATTACTCTTTAGCATGAAAACTCCTGGTAGAGTGCATACCCTGAAGCCAGGAATGCCTTAAGCCAACAAAGTACTTTGGGGCACATTATTTAGATGTGAAGCATCTATTACCATTGGCCTTCCTAGCAGTTCAGTTCAGTTTGCCAAGGGTCCTGAGAGAGCTAGGTAAAAGGACTCTGTATTAGCTTTGCAGTGGGTGTGTATAACCCTCTTTCTGGCTATGCTTAGTTGAACTGTTATGTCGGCTTTTTGGCTTCTCAAGAGCTCCTGCCTCAGCTTCCCAAATTGAGAGTCCCTGTAGCTTTCTTATCCAAGCCTCCTTGGTTCCCTAAGCTTCTCAGTATTTATTCTCAATATTTATATATTTATTCTGGTGAAAGAATAAGAAGATATAGTCTAAGTTTGAACCCACTTTCCCTAGACTCTGTATAGACTAGTGGGGAGAGTCTGTTACAGACTGCTGGTCTGAACAATTGGTTTTATACCAACTGTTCTTATTATTACACCTCAGTAAATGCTCCTTTCTAAAAGCTGAAAAGAGAAAGACGAATGGGGATGTCAGACCTCGTTGGAGAAGGGCTTTTCAAGCATAGACTGACTGATGTGGGAAGCTAGTATCAGACTAAGACCTACTAATGTAGACAGTACGACCCTATTACAGTGGTGGAGCATAGGTAACATGTGAAGCAGATTCATGGGAATCCTTTCTGCAGCTGTAATGTAGCTGTATGATAGTAACTCCTAGTTGGACATCTTTGAGACATAGGAGAGACAAATTCCTATCTTCCGACTCAGTGTTAGTGCAGGAAAGTGTCATCATGGAAAACACAGGAGAGGAATAGACCAGCAGCATTTAGTTTTGTCACTGTCACTGTACACGTTTGTAGCAGTAGCCATGATCTGTTCTAGGCCCTGGCGATACAGAGAGAGAGAGGAGACATGGAAGACACAATGCCAGCCCTCAGGGAATTTGGAGATGTATTAGGGAGAGAGGACATAAGCACAAGGGATGAATAACAATTCAGACAGCGGAAACTAAGAGCCAAAGCGTGGTATCAGCACTAATAACTAGTGAGTGGCCCAGAAGTTCAGAGGAGGGAGTAAGCCCCAAAGTTCGGTTTGGATTGGACTTGGAAGAAAGCTAAGGACTCAGATAAGTAGAGAATAGGGAGGGCATTGCAGGTGTGGAGAACAGGCAGGGAGCTAGGAATGTGCGCGGCACAGGTAACGATGATTAGATCAATGTGGCGAGCACAGAAAATTCTGTAGATGAGCAGTGGGGTCACCATAGTCAAGGGTCAAATGTGGGCCTTAAGCATCAAGCTGAGGAGTTGGAACTTTATCCTGTAGGCCGTGGGAAGCCATGGAGGGTTTTTGAGTGGGGAACCTGCGTGTGCAAGTGGAGTTTGGAGCGGATTACTGTGGCATTTGTGGATATTATATAGATTGACAAACATTAGTTAAGCTAGCCACCATACTTGGCGTTAGGAATACAAATACAAACAGGAAAGCTTACAGTCTATTGGAGAACATGAAATGATCAGATAAGTAAATACAAGATATATTGAAATTGGCAGGAAGGAAGTAGGATTAACAGCTATGAGAATCAGACATACAGGTGTGGGGGGAAGAGGCTGGAGACTAGATAGCAAGCTCGTGCAGTGGTCCAGGTGTGAGAGAATAAGTGTGATGACTAGAGCAGTACCTTTGGGGATAGAATGGTGTTGGATGAAGTGGATGTAGCCTCTGAGGAGTATTCCAGGATCAACAGGACGTGGTGACTAGAACTAAATGGGGGGAGGAGGAGGGGAAGAGTGATAAGGGATGTTTATCTTGTGACCACAAAAACGGTGGAATCCCTAACAAAAATAGATGGAGCTGGTTTGGGGGACAAGGGAATAGAAGAAGAAGAATTATTTTGATTTTAGATTTATTAAGTCTGAAGTGACCAAAAAGGTACCCATGTAAAGGAAGTTCTAGAGATGCCAATGTAACAGCAGAATCTCCCAGAACCCCTGAATCTCAGCTTGTTGTTTGACCCAGTGGGAGACTCAGCTGGATTGGGACTGAATCCAGTCTTAGAAAGGCTGAGTTGTTCAGTCTGTCTTGGTCAGGATCAGTGTTTATAGCCCAGCCAGAAAAAACTCTTTTTTGGGGGGGGGGGGAAGTGGAGATGAAATGTCCCAGACTCCAGACGAGATATTCGGTGTTTTTTCTTGGGCACTATAAGGTCCTGTATGCCCACAGAGTCAGGGTGGAGGGACAGCAGAAGTGAGGTGGGCCCAGGCAGGCTGCAGCTGTAGGGTTGCTAAAACTGGCAGCAGCCCAGAGCTTCCCCATGGATCACAGAGAAACGAGAGGGAGGGATGGGGTATCAGTGCTAGCAGAAAACCCTGTGCAAGAAAGTCAGAAGAAGCATCAGTCATCTTTTCCTTCAAGCACCACTAAACGCTGAGACTAGAGAGTGTGAGGGAGACAGAGAGTTGTGTTTTGGTCTCAAATGGTCTCATTGACTTAGTTTTGCTTATTTTTATTCTCAGTTTAACAAATACCACATAAAATGGGTAGTTCTGTGTGCATAGTAGAACAGAAAAAGAAGATTGTACATGAAGCCACTGATTCTGTTATGCACAGCTTGCTTTAATTTTTAAGTACATAATAAACTCAACTTCCAGCTTTCCACACTGTCGTGCTTTGTCTACTTCTTTGTGGCCTTCTGTCTGTTCTCTTCTCTATATCTTTTAAAAAGAAGCCCCAGCAGCCCTCTTTTCTCTTCTGCTTTTTTTTCTACTGCCCTTTTCTTATGTCCCATTACCCTCCCTTCACCCCCAATGGAGGGGGGAAAAAGAAAAGAAAAAAGGAAAACAACACATGTGTTGTTTAACATATTTTTAACAAATATGTATAGTCAAGGAAAACAAATTCCCATGTTGACTATGCCTAAAAATGTGTGTCTTATTCTGCCTCTTACTCACTGTCTTGGAGTGGTTGCTTCTTTCTGTCTGTCTTTTCCACATGTACCCCTGTTCTAAATCTTTTAAACCTGGAAAGAAGTTTATTGATGCTTTTATTTAGGAGCCATTGGTGATAATTTAAAGGATTCACACAATCACTACAAGCAGAAAGTGGATTATCATTTTTGTCTTGTCATATAGGTGACATCAATTACCAAGAATTTGCCAAGAGGCTATGGGGTGACATTTACTTCAATCCTAAAACGTAAGTGGCCTGAAGAATTTCCCTTTCCTCAGGGGGTGGTCTGCTTTCCCGCTGAGGCTTTGTCCCAGTCATTGAGGACATGGAGGAAGAGAGCTCATAAAGATTAAATCCAAAGCATTCAATGGCATAAACTGCTCCTCTTCTCCTTCTTAAATGAGATTGGCTTCATTGTCTGTAACCAGGGAGACGATGTGTCTTTATGTCAGCAAGCACTTGCTATGTGCCAGGCACCGTGCTAAGCACAAGGTAGCAGAAAGAAAGACAATCCGTGTCCTCAAGAAACTTAGATTTCAACAGGGAAAACAGCACATAAAAGGAAACTGAGAAACGGGGGATTGGAGGCAGGAGATTTGGGTACCCACCGAAGGGGCATGGTAGAGAAAGCCTGGAGCATCAGCAACGAAGACATGGCCAGGCCGGGCTGGGCTGAGCATCCTCCTATAAGTGGAGGTTCTGAGAGCAACTAGCCAGTCAGGAGGAGGCCACTGCCAGTGTGTGAAGAGGTCCCAGGGTAGCCCCAGAAGGTAAATCCCTTAGGAATTCTCCTCTGACAGTTTCTACTTTCTTCTCTCATGTCCTGACTGGCTTCAAAGTCCCTTGGATGATAGGCGCTCTGTCCTCCAGAGGTATCCACAGCTCTCTTTTCTCTCACCCTTTAGGCGGAAGTTTACCAAAAAGGCCCCAACCAGCAGCTCCCAGCGGAGCTTTGTGGAGTTTGTCTTAGAGCCACTTTATAAGATCTTAGCTCAGGTGAGTGGAGGGGGATATGTCGTTTTGTCCTCCCACATCTTCACATCCCTTTCCTGCTCAGGTCTGCTGTGCTCTTCTGAGCTGAAGAAGCACAGCCGTGGTGAGTGGCTTCCTCCATCCCTAAATCCATCCTACTGAGTGTTACCATTTATTAGGATTTCTTTTGAGCAACTGTTGAGCACTGATGTGTGCTAGGTTCCATTGGATGGGAAGGAAAGATGAAGTGGAGTACAAAGGAACAGTCCTTTAGGGGAGGCCAATCCCCCGGGGATGCCTTGAGAATTCAATTCAGCCAATAGTAATCGACCACCAGCTATTTGTGCTGGGAAAGTGTGTGAAAAATGAGAAAAGCATGTGACAGTTGTTCCTGTCTTCAAGCAGCTTGTGATCCAATTGAAAACAGAATTACTTATCAACAGATGCTAAATAGCATAATTGAAACTCATTACAGGGGCTGAGGAAGACCCAGAATGAAGTGGGGTGAAGTTAGACAAAGCTTCATAGAAGAAAGCTTCAATAATACTTGCTGAATAGATATTTTTTTCTCTTCTGGGATATGTCACACTAGAATCAATGAATTAGTTCACAAACTTTTCAAAATAAATGTTCATTAATATCATTTTTTATATCATTTCTATTCCTTGACATGTAAATGGGAAGTATATAACCTTCTTTTCAAAAAACCATCCCTTATTGTAAAAAATTAAAAGACAGGGGGAAAAGTTCAGCAAAGCTAGTTGATTTCACAAAGGTCTAATGTTACATGTGGGTGTTCCACACCCGTAGAATTGATAGGTAGTGTTTTCTCATACCTCTTCTTTGGGGCCAGTCTTGGTCATTATAATTTTGCATGTGGTTTGCATTCCGTTTCACTTGTCTTGTTGTGGTGGTGGTTTTTTCCATTAACATTGTTGTCGTTATATAAAATATTGTTTTCCTGGTTTTGCTTACTTCATCTTGCATCAGTTTATTCAGGTATTCCCATGCTTCTCTGGAGTCATCATTTTTTACAGCATATATTCCATTGCATTCACGTACCACAGTCTGTTCAGTCATTCCCAAATCTTCGTAATATGGAAAGTATGAATTAGTACATTTCAGAATTTAGGTATCTAAAAAAAGAATGCAGAGTGCCCTGAGCTCAGCTGAAGGAGAGGTCACTTCTAGCTGAAGGCATCAAGAAAGGCATCTTAGAAGAGGTGGCATTTGAGCTGGATGCTCTCTCTGGCCTGAGTACAAAATCCACCAGTGGCTTTATTTAAGCAACAGCAGTCATGAGCCTGGCTCCTGTGGCCTTCCATTGTCTGAAAAGGGGTGCTCAGTAATCCTGAGGAGGCTTGCCCACCTGGAGGTGAGAATAAGGAGATAAAGGTCCAAGGGACTGCTGGGGGACAGGAACAGCCTCTTTGTAATCCTGGGAGAGGCTTGTCCCCTCCAGATAGCTCCCCGTATGCCTGTGCCTCAGACCTCTCACCTGGGGGAGATTCTTTATCAGCTTTGGTCAATTGTACCACATTCAAACCATTTATTGTCAGAGATGAGTAGGCTGTCAGGAGGTAGAGATGGGGTGGGGGGAGGCACTTTGTGGGATTCCAGCTATACAGAACACAGTGAATAAGGGTGCAAGGTTTGGTTGGAGCCTGAGACGTGAGAGGAGACATGCAAAATAAAGCTGAGTTGGGGCCATGTTGTAGGAGTACTTTGAATGACCAGCCAGGGTTAATGAAAGGAATTGATAGGCTCACCCTCCCTGTAGACCCTGAGAGCGCTGGGGATGATTTAGATTCAGCCTTGCCTGGAGGAAGGGTGATATATATCCAGCCCTGTCTACGTGTGGTCACTGCTAAGTGACCTTTTTTGGTTTCTCACAGAGGTCTGATGCTCTAAATCATGTGTGTCTGCCAAGAGGTGTGGGTGATTGCTTGGCCGAGGTGAAATGCTATTTTTAGACACAAGGTGGCAGCACTGAGAGCCCTCTGTCTTGAGTGAAGACCAGCCATTGGGAAAGCCAGTCTGTTCTTTCCCAGTCAGTGACTTCCAAAGGGCCTCTCACCAGAGCAGGCAATAATTTTCCAACATTGGTGTTTCTGTATCGGGGGTGGGAACTAAAGTAAAATTCTTTTCTGTCCCTTCACTGTCATCTTTGGTGGAAGCTCCAGCCACAGGGACTCTTGCGATTGTCCTTCGGACCCTCCTCTTGGCCTTACTGCATACATATAGCAAACCAACAGCACCCCCTGGGTCACATCCTGGAGCCAGCTTCGACTGACTATGTTAGTGGCTTTCTGTCATGATAGGTTGTGGGAGACGTGGACACCAGCCTCCCAAGGACCCTGGATGAACTGGGTATCCACCTGACCAAAGAAGAGCTGAAGCTGAACATACGCCCTCTCCTTAGGCTGGTCTGCAAAAAGTTCTTTGGGGAGTTCACAGGTAATAAACAGTCCTGAGTGTCAAGAGATACTAGAGATCACCTGCCCACCCTGGCAATGCTTGGGACGGTCTTTGAGAGCACGTTCAGGGGCAGCACAGCCATATGCTTTTCTCATCTCATCCCTGGCGTCAGGACGTAGGCCTTGAGATCACCAAGGAGCTGATTTGCATCTCAGGGGAGAGCAAGGATAAGTGTGACCCTCTTCGGAGGGCTCATAGCCTGGTACAACTTGTTGTAGATGGACTGATTCAGAAACTCCCCGGACAGATATTGTTGGTTAGCAGTTGTGCTAATTGTGCCCTGGAGGTACAAGATGCTCATTCTGGCCTAGCACATGGGACAGGTAATAAAGATGGGAAATTTTCCTATTCTCATAGAGAACTGCTAACAATTTATTAGAGAAACTAGGAAAAAAACCACATTTTAAACAGAAATAGAATACAGTGCTTCAAAGAGAGGAGTTGGATCAGGGATTATTCTTTTTTTTGGCTAGGCAATGGGGTTAAGTGACTTGCCCGGGGTCATACAGCTAGTGAGTGTTATGTGTCTGAGGCCGGATTTGAACTCAGGTCCTCCTGAGTCCAGGGCCAGTGCTCTATCCACTGTGCCACCCAACTGCCCCATGGATCAGGGATTATTCTGAAGGGTTGGATGAGGGAGGGGAGCATGGGATGTCTGGTTTTAGTGTATAATCTGAATAAATAACCTGGATCCGGAATCATGAAAACTTCTTAGAGTTTTGGGTTGAACTTAAAAATCTTTTGCTAGATGAGTATTAGTAACCCCTCACCAGATGACCTTGCCCCTGCACAGGCCAATGAATGATCCTGTTTGCTGGACGCTCTACACCTTCTCTGAATGTATGGGCTTTCCTTAAGGGCGGGGGTATCATCATGGCATTCTCTTCCTCTCATCACAGGCTTTGTAGATATGTGTGTGCAGCATATACCTTCTCCAAAGGTGGGCGCCAAGCCCAAGATTGAGCATACTTACACTGGCGGTGTAGACTCAGACCTTGGTGAGGCCATGAGCGACTGTGATCCTGACGTAAGGAGACCTGCTGTGGGGCCGACGTCCTTGCTCCCCCACCCCTCCCTATCCCTGTGCTCCCTGCCTTTCCTCTGCCCTTTCCCCTCCTACTGCATTCTCCATTCTGGCCTTTCTGTCTTTTTCTGCCATTCCTTATCCTGAGTAGATTCATAACCTGAAGGTATAGGCAGTTGAGCATCAGGATTTGTGTTTTTGGCAGAAAGAACCCCACCTATTCTTTTGTTCCCTGGTTCTTTTCCTCCAAAAAAAGTGGAGGAATTATCTGCACTCAGTTCTCAGTCTTTCTGTTGACTGTGGACAGAGTAGTGTTGAGCTTTGCTTTCTCCCAAAAGAAAGCAGAGCAATGCCCAGAGAGCTCATATCCCAGCCCCAGCAAGCTGGCATTGTATTCTCTTGCAGGGCATATGTAAACACGGCTTTTCCATGTCTCTCTACCAGGGGCCTCTGATGTGCCACACCACCAAAATGTACAGTACTGATGATGGGGTACAGTTCCATGCCTTTGGGCGAGTGCTGAGTGGCACCATCCATGCTGGGCAGCCAGTGAAGGTGCTTGGGGAAAATTATACTTTGGAAGATGAAGAGGATTCCCAGATCTGTACTGTGGGCCGGCTGTGGATTTCTGTTGCCAGGTACCACCAGGTGGCGCCAGCATCCATATTATTGCTTTTCAGGCTATGAAGAGGAGTCTGTATTGAAGGAAAATGGTGGCAGTCTATTTCTATGTAGTGTGATTAAGAAAACCTCTTGACTTGTATTATCTGATTCCCATGGTATAGATCCCTCTTCACTGGTCCTAAAGGCTTTGCTTTTGAGTTTTGGTTAAACCTCTCTGTGGGAGGATTTCCATTCTTTTCTGTAGCCCAGCCCAAAGATGTCAAACCTACAACATTCCTAAATGGGGCCCGAACCAGGTTAAGATGGAATTGGGATTTAACAAAACAAAAATATAGTAATACATAAATAATGCTAACATGATTTTCTACATCGTATGGCCCTTAGGGATGGGCCTTATATGTGGTTATTGGCCCTGTTTCTATTTGAATTTGACAGTCCTGGCCTAGCCTATAACTTTAAAAATCATCCTTTACTGTAAGCTCAGCTCCATTGTCTGTCATGTGGCAGAGATGTGACTGCTGTACACCTCCCCAAGGTAATTTCCCGATTTTGGTGGCTGCCCTGGGGGAAATGAGAACGCTTAAGGGCCACAGGAGGCCTGTGCCTTGACTGGAATACCCTTTGTCTACCTCCCAGCTTGCATTTCCTTATTCCTCATATATATATACTCCTAGAGTATTGCTGAGGCAAAGTAGCCTGCTGGAGTGGAGAGTAGCTTCCACATCATTAGTACACTTAGTTCCTTTTTCTGTGTTGTACCTCAAGAAACTACTGCTTGATGTGCCCTACTTGTGTCATTCTTATGTTGGGATCCAGGTATCACATAGAAGTGAACCGAGTTCCTGCAGGCAACTGGGTTTTGATTGAGGGTGTGGATCAGCCCATTGTGAAGACTGCCACAATCACTGAGCCCCGAGGCAATGAGGAGGTAGGGCCTTGTGAAATAGCTGCCAAGATTGTTATCAATTTACGTGGTTCTTGGGGACAACACCAGAGCCACCGAGACTTAATAGGAAATCTGGGCTCTGACACTGGCTTGACTGAGGTCAGACCTCACTGGTTTTCCTTGCGCGAGGAAGTTTTTGACGGTAAGGGTATGCTCAGGAAACCCTTTCTTTGTCTATAGATCCTCCTGACTCCCCAAGATCTGTGAGATGAAGTAGATTTTTAGGCTGCTCAGAAGCATCTGAGCTTTTAGCAAAAACACCCCAATACTGGCTCCTCAGGGGAGCCAATCCTCTGTTATATGTCAGCTATCACAGCTTTCTCTAGTTGCTCCTTAGGCCAGGTGGCCTCACTTCTCTGCGTTTTGAATCTCAGGCTCAGATCTTCCGGCCTTTAAAGTTCAATACCACTTCGGTCATCAAGATTGCTGTGGAACCAGTTAACCCCTCCGAGCTCCCCAAGATGCTGGATGGCCTGCGCAAGGTCAACAAGAGCTACCCGTCCCTCACCACCAAGGTGCGTCCCAGGCCCCACAGACTCTTCCCCAGTAGGCGCCATGTTGGTGCTGTAAGAGGCAGGAGTAAATTCAGCCTTAAGCTGGCATCTCTGCCAGTCACTCTGCTAGTCTGCTTTCTGGCATTGGTTTTCTATACCCTGGTCACTACAGAATGCCTACCAGCTCCTTTTTCTTTCTTTCTACCCAAAGTACCTAATGCTGTCCTTTAATATGGAGGTGAGCTGCTGAGTTGTATTGAGCTAGCCATGCTCCCTTTTGTGACAGAGTTAGAGGCTGGCTTGGGGCTGTGACCATGGGACAAAGTTTTGGTTTTTTTGTTTTGTTTTGTTTTTTCAAAACTAATGTTGTCTGGTAGATGATAAACCCTGATCACCTTTGTAACTGGCCAAGGGGTGGTTTGAATTGATCACTTGTACTTCTGAAGTGTCACTTTTTAAGAGAGGCTGGCCCTATCCAAGGGTAATGGAACACTGAGTTCCTCCTCCTTGGTCTTCCTAATCCTGATTATATCAGTAATTGGTGGCATTGTTGAGCCCCAGACCGAGATCTGTACAAGAACTATTGTATTTCAGGTGGAAGAATCTGGGGAACATGTGATCCTGGGCACGGGAGAGCTGTATCTGGATTGCGTGATGCATGACTTACGGAAGATGTACTCGGAGATAGACATCAAGGTGATGTCACGGTCCTTTTCCCAACCTTCCTTGGCCGGTGGGTAGCTTGGCTTCTAGTTCAAGACTGGTTTTTACCAGTGAAAACTACATATTTCTCCTTGAAAATACTGGAGATGGAAGGGAACAATGGGAGTCTGAGAGACTAAGAGAATCTTGGTGGGAGGGTATCTCTACCTATTTATCCTGTTTTCTTGGATCATGTCAATGTTGGGACCCCGGAGCAAAATTTTAGAAAGAGTTCCTTTGTTTCTGAGATAATCTGTACCAAAGAAGAGCCCTCTCTTTTGGCAAGTTCCTCTTTTGGTGCCAGTTTGGTTGGGTGGTCTTTACATCCATTATCCTTTTTCCTCACTCCTTTATTTCCCACCCTACTTTTTGATAGGGCAAGGCAGCGCAGAGTTACAGTGGGAATGAGGCTGGCTTTTGCCTCTGTTCCCTCAGTGCTGTGCTCTAGAGTGCCCCATCACAGGCTTGCAGTGGTTAGTTGCAAGAAGAGAGTGGGAGCCAGCCCTGCTGGCTTCAGAACTCCAGGTCTGTCCCTAAGTCACCTTTTTCTTTTCTTTTTTTTTTTTTTAATTTTAATATTTTATTTTTTCCCAATTCTTTAAAATGATTTTTAACATTCATTTTTAAAAATTTTGAGTTCCAAACTCTCCCTCCCTTTCTTCCCTCCCCCGCTTGAGAAGGCAAATGGTTTGATATAGGTTATACATGTGTAGTCATGTAAAACATATCTCCATATTAGCCATGTTGCAAAGAAAACAGACCTAAAAAAAAAACAAAACAAGAAACAAAGTTTAAAAAGTATGCTTTAATCTGCATCCGGATTCCATCAGTTTTTTTCTCTGGGGATGGATAACATTTTTCATCCTAAGTCCTTCAGGATCTTCTGGATCCAGTGATCCAGTGTTGATCAGTGCATTGCTGAGAATAGCTAAGTCAGTCACAATTGTTCATCTTGCTGTTGCTATGTACAGTGTTCTCCTGGTTCTGCTCACTCCATTTTGCATCAGTTCACATAAGTCGCCTTTATCCTCATAAGCAAGTTCTGTCTTTTGTCTGGGCATCTGTTTCCTATTTCATAGAAAGTTCCTCTTAGTGAGTGGTGATGTCTGTGTTCTCCCTCCAGTTCCTTGTTCTGGTGTTGACTGAGTAGAGGATGTTGGCTTTCCAAAAGGATAGACTGTTGTGGGACCTCAAGAAGGATTGTGATACTTGGGCCTCCTGTTATCCTATCAGCCCTTTGGCGCTCATCTCTTAGTGTTAGATTTGAACAACAAAAACCACAGGATTGCTTCTCTTTCCTTTTTCTTGCCTACTCCTTTTTTTGGGGATTTCTAATGGTGGTGCAAGCAAACCAATTGTCTCCGTGTTATTCTTTGTAAGTTATTAGTTGCTGGGGCAGCTCGGTGGCGCAGTGGATAGAGCACCGGCCCTGAAGTCAGGAGGACCTGAGTTCAAATGTGGCCTCAGACCAAACACTTGACACTTCCTAGCTGTGTGACCCTGGGCAAGTCACTTGACCCCAACTGCCTAACCAAAAAAAAAAAGTTATCAGTTGCTACTTTGCACAGCTGAGGGAATTCCTAAGAGGAGCAGGCCCTGGAGCTCCTGGTTTCTTTTTGGGTGGGAGAATACTATCTTACCCCAGCAGGCCCTCCCCTAACCGTTCATCTTCTCTTTCCCAGGTGGCTGACCCAGTTGTCACATTTTGTGAGACAGTGGTAGAAACGTCTTCCCTCAAGTGTTTTGCTGAAACACCCAATAAGAAGTAAGCAGTAGATATCTCCTCATGTGGACACTAATACCTTCAGCTTGCATGCAAGCAGATTTTGCCTCCTGCCACATAGGATAGAAGGCAGGACTCTAAAGTTTTGATTTTGGCAAGAGTCGGTATCCCCATCTCCCTTAGCACCTGTGCCCGTGGGCAGATTTCTGTGTTCTCTCCTCTATTCCTTTGTGCGTTCCTACTGTCTTATGGTGATTTTAAGAATTTACCCAGAACCTGCTTTTATTTTTTTTTATTTTATTAATTTATTTTGATTTATCAACAATCACTTCCATACGTTTTTGAGTTGAAAATTTTTCTCCCTTTTCCTCCCCCCCACCCTTCCCAAGACGGTGCACAATCTGATATAGGCTTTACATTTACATTCCTATTAAACATATTTTCACATTAGTGAAGTTGTAAGTAAAAATTAAAACCAATAGGAGGAACCATCAGAAAGATGAAACAAAACTCAACAGAAGGTAAAAATAAGTGATAGCAATTTGACTTCCATAGTTCTTTCTTTGGATGTGGACAGCATTTTCCATCCTGAGGGCTCTGGAGATGTCTTAGATCCTTGTAATGCTGAGAAGGGTTCAGTTGAACAATATTAGTCATCACATAACGTGGCTGTTATTGTGTACAAAGTCCTCTTGGTCCAGAACCTACTTTTAAAAACAAGTGATTTCAAAAGTAGGGAGCAAATCAAAATATATGTTTGACTGTTAGTATTGTTTTCTCCTTTCATACCCCTTAGTTTCTCATTGGTCTGTAATCACATTTTTGCCACTTATTTTACATCACCAAGTTTCTTTCGTTCCCTTTTACTCAGAGAGTAACCCTTCTCCTAGCCTTGTTTTGATCTTTCCATATTAACCCATTTTTTTCTGCACAGGAACAAGATCACCATGATTGCTGAGCCTCTTGAGAAGGGTCTGGCAGAGGACATAGAGAATGAAGTGGTACAGATCACTTGGAACAGGTGGGAATGGGGTTTTGTTCCAGAATTGATGGGGGAATGGGTAAAGAGCAGGCAACAGAGGGAAATGACTTCTCTGTTATCTCTACCAATACTGACCTCCTGGGGAAGGTGTTAATATGGTCAGAGGAGTGCTCTATCAGCATCCCCTTGCTGTTACCCCTATAATCTACATATGTATAGGGAAGAGGACAAGGAAGATTGATAGTCCTCCAGAGAAAAACCACTAAAAATCTGTATTATCAAAAAGGCCAATTGCAATGGAGCCATCCCTAACACCTCCACTTTCTCTTCTTCCTACCAGGAAGAAGCTAGGTGAGTTCTTCCAGACAAAGTATGACTGGGATTTGCTGGCTGCCCGTTCTATCTGGGCCTTTGGCCCTGATGCCACTGGCCCCAACATCCTAGTGGACGACACTTTGCCCTCAGAGGTACAGGGGAACTGGTGGGTGGTTTACTCATGGTTGCTAAATAGGGAGGGGGCATAATGAAAATGTTCTCCCAATTCCTAGGAGAGCTTTGAGATCTTCTCATGAAATAGAAGGCCTCTCCCAGGTTTATCTCTCTTTTCTTGTTGTCCTCTAAGGCTATTGGTCCCATGAACAATGGCAAGAGTTGTGGCTAAGATGCCTTCATGTTTCTGAACAGGTGGATAAAGCTCTGCTGGGCTCAGTGAAGGATAGCATTGTCCAAGGTTTCCAGTGGGGCACCAGAGAAGGGCCCCTCTGTGATGAGCGTAAGTTTGCTAATTATTTATAGAGGCCTCTCACCTGGCAGTAAGGTGTACTGTCATCTCACCACCTCTGAGATCTGGGCAGTGGACCAGATTGAAAAGCAGAGGCAGAGCTATACCCTGCTCCAAACTCCCTCATTCGTTTTTTTACTAGGTGCCTCCACCTGGCACAGGCTAGAATTAGATGTACCTTGTGTCTCCAGATCCAGAAGATGCCCTTCAGGTCTGCTGAGAGGAGGGAGGTCAAGCTTTGGGCCTGGGTGGAGAGAAATAGCAGGCCACAGTAGCTGGGCTTGCCAGACTGTTGGAAAAGATGTAATCTCTGATTCAGGCCCGAAACAGATACTGGCCATCTATCTGAAACCCGAGCATAGCCTTGCAGAATTCCCTCCCTAGGATTTTCTGTCACATGCTGTTTCAGTGAGCAGTAATTATTCTGCTTTATTTCTCACTTGAACCACCACTGGGTTTCTCATCTTTTGGCTTCTTCATTCATGGTCCACCCATTTCTCTTCATTCCCAGTGATTCGCAACGTCAAGTTCAAGATCCTGGATGCAGTTGTTGCCCAGGAACCCCTGCACCGGGGAGGAGGCCAGATCATTCCCACTGCCAGGAGGGTTGTGTATTCTGCCTTCCTTATGGTATGGAGCAGACGTAATGGAGTTGCAGGGGTGAGGGGGTGGTGGCAATGCCTTATCTATCTCTAGAAGGCACTTCACCCAAACAGCAATTGAGAATATCTGTGGAGAGCTGAACCCTTGAGAGACTCCGTGCTCCTGCCCTCCACTTTGGCCTTGCCCATCCATTTTCTCTGGTTCCCTTCTTTACCTCTTCCCAAGCTGAGGACTTCTTTCTTTTGCCTTTGTTGCAGGCTACCCCTCGTCTAATGGAGCCCTACTACTTTGTGGAAGTTCAAGCCCCTGCAGACTGTGTCTCTGCAGTCTACACTGTCTTGGCCAGGCGCAGGTGAGCAAATCTAGCATCCTAGACCCAGTGGTGACCCAGCTTTTAGTGAGGAAGGAGAAAGAACTGTTTTGCCCCGCTTAAGACCAAGCATGCTGAGCTAATTTCCCCGAAGGAGTGATCAACAGGGGCTCCCAAGCAAAGGGTGTCTTGTTTTCCCAACTGCCTATAAAGAGAAGTCCATATTGACCCTTTGCCACCTTAGCTCTTGCTCATCTCTAGAGAGGGACCCTCAACCACTAATTTGGGGAATGGTGGAAGATGAGGGATGACTTTCAGAGGAAGGCCTCTGACCCTAATGCCAGCTGAACTCCCACTCTTACTTCTTGTCTTATGGCCCTGGGAGGAGCACACTGAGAGCACTCTACTTAATGTCTAATATCTGTTTTCTTTTTTTTTATAAGATGATAGCTTTGGTTTGGGGTAGATTTAGGGTTGGCCAGTGGTTAGTGCTTGCTTGCCCATCTTCCCAGGGCATGGGGCTCAACTTTTGTCTGTCTGTCTCAGAGGCCATGTGACACAGGACGCACCTATCCCAGGCTCTCCACTCTATACAATCAAGGCCTTCATCCCAGCTATTGACTCATTTGGTTTTGAAACTGACCTCCGGACCCACACCCAGGGACAAGCCTTCTCTCTGTCTGTTTTCCACCATTGGCAGGTGAGGTTTAGAGGAAGGTGAGACATTTCCAGGGCTCTGGTAAGATGGTTTGCACCCCAGGACGTGGGAGCCTTCCCATTCTTATATATGGCCTATGTTTTAGATCGTACCTGGTGACCCACTGGATAAAAGCATTGTCATCCGTCCCCTGGAGCCACAGCCAGCCCCTCACCTGGCCCGGGAGTTCATGATCAAGACCCGTCGTAGGAAGGTACATGTTCCCCTTCCCCCATCCTGCACTCAGTGTTCTCACTAGAAGTCAGTCTCCATTCTTAGGGATTCCTCTCCCAGTGGACCACTAGGTAAAGCAATACTCGTGGTATGTGGGATTTCTGTGCTTTCCTTACAGCTGCAGGCACTGGGAGATACTTTCTTACTGGGATGGGAGGGACACAGAAAAGTCCTTGCCCTTCCCTGTGAGAAATCATTGCTCTTTCTGAAATGGGCAGCTTTGTCCAGAGCTTTGCATCAGCCCTTCCCTCCCTCGCTGCTAGAACACAGATCAGCTTTTCCCCAGGCGTCATTCTGGCCTTTCCTTCCCCAACCCTAGGGTCTGAGTGAGGATGTGAGCATCAGCAAGTTCTTCGATGACCCCATGTTGTTGGAGCTTGCCAAGCAGGATGTGGTTCTCAACTACCCCATGTGAGCTGGGGGGATGCTCCTGGCAGCTCCCGTACTTGGTCCTGGGCAGCGCTTTCTGGACAGCAGAGCCTGGGAGGCACAACTTTGGTGTATTGGACCAAGTGGCTTTGCCTTTGCAGTTGCTGATGGCGGGGTAGGGGGAGAAAAGAAATGGTATTGATTTTTTTCAGCAGCCAGTAAACTGTCTCTACAGACTCCCCAGGAAGGGAGGAACACTTGGCCTCTTAGGTCTTTCCATGGCCTCTGCTTATTAGCTCTATTCCTCAGGGAGTGAGGGAGGGAGTGAGGCTCAAACCTCAGGGGGGAAGAAGAGAAGGAAAATGTCTGACCCTGAGAAACCCTGTCCTGGAATTTAGAATTTTATTTTTACAAATTTGACCCTAAACATTGTTTGTAAGTGAGCAGAACATTCTGGTCTTTGTCTGGTCCTTTTCCTTTCATCCGTTTCCTTCTATCCCTTACCAAATCTCTGCAGCCTTGCATTTACCCTGGTACTTGCTTTTGGGTGAAGAGGTATAGAACCTCCTAGATGGTCCTGCTGGCTCTGGGCTTCTAGCTTAGGGCTCTCTTTCTCTGTTCGTGCCCAGGGAAGCCTATTAAGGGATCAGTACTTGCAGCCACTCTTGAATTAACATTTCTATCAACTGTCTAATTATTCTTTTTTTCTGTGAAAGGAGGTGGAGGTGGGAGGAGAGGGAGGAATCTGGGATCCCTGATTTAGGAATTACATTTGTGCTTAAATTTTCAGCGTGCCCAAATCCTCCCCGGTGTCATCGTGCTAGAGTGGAGAGGATTCTAGATTTGGAGTCAAAGGATCTGAGTTCAAATCCTAGCTATCTCACTTAGTATTTAGCTGAGCCTTTCTCACCTCCAGAATGGGGGGGAGGGGGTCAGATAACCTCTTAGACCCCACCAGCTCTAACTCTATGATCCTGTGAACTAAGAGGCCAAAGTGCTGATTGCCTGCCCCCACCCCCCCTCCCCCAGCTCATTCTTCTGAGCCCTCACACCAGCTGCCACCACCAACTTCTTGAGTGCTTCCCTGTGTTAAGAACAGACTGTCGCTCATCCTCAGAATCACTTTATTATAAGGAAGCATACAAGGGACTCATTTAAGGGAGTCTGACCGCCAGCCTCCATACAGCTCCTACTTCTCCTCGGCATCGTGTGCTGTTCTCTTGATGTAGTCACAGTACATGGTGTACACTGCACCTGTGTGAGAGGAAAGGCCAGAGATAGCCCCTTGGGGTCAGAGCCCTCATGCCCCCTCCAGCTGGCCAGGGATCAGGAGTTAGAACAGCTTCCAAAACCCTGGAGCTCCACTGTGGCAGAGCCCCTGGGGGTTTTACTTCCTCTCTCATCTTTCTGCCCCAAGTCACAGCAGCTGCTCTAAACAACTGACTGCTCCAAACCCTTTCTCCCTGTTCTCCGCATCCCGTCCCCCAGCTTCTCAGGATGAAGATGGACCGATGTGGGGAGGTGAGGGCAACTGGCTATAAACAAACTTACACTTTGCTGCATTTCCCCACCCTACCCACCCTGAGTGGTAAAATGGGCTCTACCTGCATAAGTGTGAAAGAAGATGTAGAGTCTGGACCCTGAAGGCTTGTCCATGTTTGTGGCTCCTACTGGGAAGCTGCCCTGCCCACAGGGTTAGGAAGAGTTTGGACTCTTGCAGCCCCTGAAGTATCAGGGCATCAAGCTAGGTTTTGGGGGCCCTTGCTCTGATGCCTGCTCACCCAACATGATGGCTCCCACGGCGCAGGCCTGAGCTGCCACTCGAGTGTGGATCAGGTGTAGAGACATCTTGAGAGGGCCTCGGGCCTTTAGCCGATAAATGCCATAAGCTGTTACCACCAGACAGCCCCCCAGGCCTGTGCAAAGAGGTGGGGGGTAGGGGGAGGCTGTTAGGACAGAGCCACAGGGGGCTTCAGTGGCCTTCAGGCTCACCTGACTCGGGACTGTTTCCCTTCAGTTCCCCCACCACACCCTGCACCTTATCCCCTTAACTCACTTCAGCAAGCACACACACCCTTACATCCTACTCTAGTCACTGCCAGCACCCCCATCTTGCCTGACAACTTCTGATTCTCCATGTTTATTTTTAGGGTGCCCCCCCGAACCTCGATGGGTGCTAGCTCCTCTGACCCTTCGAGTCTGTGTGCCAGCCAGCCCTGTAGCTTGTATGCTAGCTTCTCTCTTCCTTCCACCCCCTTGGCAGTTCCTTTGTTACTTAGTGTGTCAGTATAACACTCCTTCCTCTTGTCCCTCGGCACCCTCTCTGTCCTTCTGCTTCTACTCCTGGTCAACCAGCTGCTGGTGGTGTTCAGTGGATTGTGTTGGTATGTTCATTATCTGGACCTTAGACTCCAAGACCTTGGTTGGCTACTTTCCCCATCCCCATCCCCAACTCACCCACAGGTACCAGTGGTGACTCCCTGGTCTTCCTCAGTAACTTATCAGAGGCTCCACCTTCGCCCTCAGGTGGCACCCACCAGTCCTTTTTAGCAGACATGGTCCTGGACCCAGATGCTGGGGCCCTAGCCCTGACCTAAAAAGACGTCTCCCACAATCAGAATCCTTGAAGTTGTCCTCGTTTCTTCTTCTCACCTGTATGTTGGGCTGGAAAAAGAAGGGTTGGACAGCTAAGGCCCCTCACCTCTCATGCTAAGGGCCACCTCTTTGGAAGAGTAACCAACAAGTCCTTTTCAGTAGATAGCCGAACCATGCTGTCTGCTGTTTTCCGTATTTGCCAACTGTCTCTCTACAACTCCCTTCTTATAACTTTCTTCTCCCTCCTCATCTTCCTTCCAGTGATTTTTTTCCCCTGCACCCCTCCCTCTCCCTAAGCTCCTTCCTTGAGATTGTGATCCCAAGCTGTTTGGAAGAAGTCATTGGAGGGGTTGGACAGGGAGGGAGGGAGGGAAGGAAGAATAGGGAGCTTCATGGATCCCACTGGACCTGAAAGTAGCATGGATAGGGGCCCTTGTGCCAAAGTATCCAAGAGAGAGAGAGACAGAGAGACTCAGCATTTTAATCAGTTATAATTTACATGCTGTTTTGAATATAAGTTTATACATTAGTTTTCTGTCAAAATGAACCTATTTTCCCCTGCGTCCTATACTTTCACCTCCTACGTTTCACCCTGCACCTTCACTCCAGCTTCTCTCCCAATCTTTACTCCCTGCCAAGTGGTGGAAAGAAAGTAAAGTAAAACCAACGTCCCCTGACTTTCTCCTTTTTAACCTCTCCTTGAGTACCCATAGTCCCAGGAAACAGATGCTTGGCTCCCCAGTTCTAACCATTGGAACATCCAGCATTTGCTGAATCTGGACCTCCAAAGACCTAGTTTTTCTCCTAGGGGCCGGGGCTGATGCAGATGAACTCTGCCCCTCCAGGGACAATAGAGGGCTGCTCCACCACAGGGAAACCTAGCATAGTGGCACATACCTTAGTGGTGGTGGTGAAAGGGAGGACTGCCTGAGCCTGTGTTCACCGTCCTAAAGCTGTTATAGAACTGGAGATGAGCTAGTACTTTGGGGTCAGGGGAATAGTGGCTTGGGTTTTATGGAGATTTTGGAGTGAACAAGGGGAGGAGAGTGAAAAGAATGGAACACTAGCCTTAACCCCTCCATCTGCTGGGAACTCCAGGCCTTCAGAAGTGTTGGGAACAGATGGAAGCAGCAGTGATTAGGAACCTAGGCCATCCTGGTTCATTTTCAGGCACCAATGGACACATAAGGATTAGAGCAGAGCCAGACTTCCTTGTATGAGGGGTAAAATGGGAAATGTAATGTGTTTGGGGGAAGGGAAGCAGAAAGAATTGACACCAGTTACAGAAGGCCACGTCTCCCAGCCATATGATCTTGGACACTGCACACTAGGCCAGCTGCTCTCCAAACAGCTTCCTGCCCCTGCTTTTCAGGTTCCCACACTCAGCTGTGCTTTGTTAGAATCACTGATGGATCCTTCCCGCATAGCTCTCCTGTGGAAATGGTCAGTATGATGGTCACCTTGGGGGGTCGTGGATTCAGGTGCTAGTGTTAATTACCCTGTGAATAGGGAAAGGGAAAGAAGGGACCTCCTCAGAATCTGATCACCTCCAGCACTCCTGTTGGCCCATGAGATTTGTTTAGGGAGGAAAAGTAGGAACAGCTGGGACCCTCTCACCTTTCAAAGGTTTCCTGGGGGACATCTGCTTGTGGGATGCATGGACAGGTTTCAGAAAGCTGGACAGGGCCCAAGGCAGGCATCTGTCAGGATTGGCTATAGAACCTAGGTGTCTGTAGGAAATGAATATCATCCTTTGTTAGCAAGAGAAGGAAATAGAAAGGTGGATCTTGGAAGCCTGCCAATAAAAGGATCCTTGAACATATAAGACAATAGAGATTTCCTTTTCCACCAGATGCCTTTGTTTCTACCCTTGAATTCCCCCAGGTTTCCCTTCTTCCATCTCCAGTCTCTGTCCTCATCCACCAAAAGCCTAACATTTGTCTCCGAAGCTTAGAAGGAGCCGTCCAACCTGCCCCACCCCCTCCCTAGACCCAACATAAAAAAACTGGTAGGCTTACATTTCCAAGCAGGGGACAGGAAGTCACTGCAGATCCCCTGGGCCTTCCCACCTCCCCAGGGTCTGTGGGAACTGGCCTCTGTCTTTCTCTCACACTTTCCTCTATCCCTTATTCCCAACTGCATCATCTGGGACCTCAGGAGAGGCCCCAGATGGGGATCCTCCCTTGGGGTTCTGGATCAATAAGTGGGGGACAGGAAGGGTGGAAGGCTCATACCAAGAGGGCCAAGGAAGTGGGGAAGAACACCGGGGTAGAGAACTTGGACTTCAGACATGGGCTGTTGTGGTCCCAGCTCTGCCCATGGAAAGCTGAGCAAGCCTGGACAAGTCCCTCAACCTTTCTGAACGTCTATTCCATCTAATGAAGATCAGATGACATGAAGTACATGAGTGCACTTTGTCTGATGTAGTGCTGTATGCCTGAAAGAGATTGGTATTGTGTAGGGTCAGACGTCGGAGACTGAGTCACAGCGTGCGGAGGTAGGGACAGGTGTGCAGGATAATGTTGCATCCAAGAAGAAGGACATGGTATTGCTGTTTCCACCAGGGAGAAGACTAAGAATGAAGCCCACAAGTCCCTGTTTCTAGTCCAGTGAAGGGTTACCAAAATGAATTTTCCCTCCTGCACGTTAATACTGGGGAGGGGGATGCTTAGGAGGGCCAAGGTCAGGTCTTAGACCAGCAGATCTTAAGAACAAAACATTTTTTTAAAAGAAATTCAGCTTTGTTAACTTTTGAGAATGTACTTCTTCCCAAGTAAAGAGCCTATTTTAATTCACTGATAATCATGTCACAGGGGAGATGGAGAGGGAAGGAACAGGTATTTATTAAGCACCTGCTATGTGCCAGGCACTGTGCTAAGTGATACACAAATGTTATCTGATAATGAGTTCATATTGCCGAGAGTATACTGGCATGCCAGTGAACTTTTATGTCAGGATCCTGTTGTGCAGTTTTCCCAATACAACCCAGGCTGCTCTGTTCCCACTCAGTTTTGGGCCCACATCAGTGTCCACATGTAGTCTATCCCTGACCAGGGTATAAGGACCAATGGACTAACTCAACAGACAGCCCTATTCAACTATGTCAGAAGGGATGGGGAATGGACCTGTGATTTTCATTTGGTATATAGAATTCCTGGATGAAGAAACATCACTCTTCCCCAATCCCCCCCCACACAAACACACACATTGGCACATTCTTCTTAACTTAGAATCATAGTTGCCTGGAACACAGATGTTAAGTGATTCGCCCAGGGTCACATAGCCTAAGTATGGCAGAGATAGGAATCTGTGCAATAGGCATTCTTTAGCCCTTTGTTGTTGTCTTTTTTTTCTTTTCTTCCATATGTGGACTATTAGAATGGCCTCTTTTGAGTAGCCGTGGATCTCATCATAGTGGTCTTGTTAGTGTTCTGGGACCTGATGCAAAAAGCATGAAAGTCATCTGCAAACAGGACTGTGTGAAGGAAGGACCTCAGTATCTATAGGCAGTCCTATTTAGACCCTGTGTGGGACAAAGGTGAACAAGTTCAGGAAATGTGTCTCCCTGTTTTATGTCTCACTTGACACAATTAAAGATACTAGTGTGGCTGTAAATCATGGAGCATCATGATTTCTACAGAATCAGAATGACAGATGGCCCAGAGGAAAAGGAAGAAATGTGCATGGAGGCTGGATATAAGTAAGTTTCAATACATTAACAATGATCTGTGTGCTAGAGATGATATGAAGAAGACCATCTGGAAATACGTGATAGCAAAGAAAGTGAGCTGGTTACAAAATCAGCTGAGGGGTAACATACAACCCGAATGTTGCAGCGGTGCCTATAGAATGTCAAAAGACCCTAAGGAAGGCTTCAGCATGTTGGATAAATCATGAGGATTTGGGAGAAGACACAGACAAATGGGAGGGGGTTGTAAGCTCATAACATAATTAGCACTATTGGAGGGAGCACTTGAATGAACTGGACTCATGAATCCTTGAAATGTGCATGTTCTACGCAAAGCAATTTGCTTTCTTATGTATGATAAATATGCTATGGGAAAGCTTGGCACAGAGATCATCTTCCCCCCTCTTCCAGTACTCTACACAGAACTCCCCTGGAGGAGGCACTTGGAGTGTGCAGAAGGTGAACAGGACCGATCAGCTCATTCTCCACTCCCACCCTCCAACCTTGAGGATTTAGGGGGAGGATACCACTCCCCGAACTTGGGACCTGCTAACTCAGGATATGAACTTGGAATAAAATGTGTGTGTGTCCACACACACACACACAGTTTGGTCAAAGATGGAAAGAATGGAACTGTAAGATGTCAAAAGTCTAGCTACTACTGGCTGCAGAAGGGTTAGAAGTTCCACTGAGTAGAGCTGGGGGAAAAAAGAAACCTGGGATGTGGTGAGAGTGGCAAGAGAGTAGTGTAGTTTAAAGGGACAGGCAGTGGGAGGACACTACCAGGAGAAGAGAAAGCTGGGGAATGTAGAATCAAAGTCAGGAGCAATTTAAAAAAAAAAAAGATTAGAACTAAAGACTTCAGTATAGAAAAGTAGAGGAGTCTGACCAGTCTCTCCCACAGTCAGAGACCAGATTCCTTCTTCATGGGCCCTAGGAGGTCTTAGTTATTCCAGTGATCGGAGAAAGGGAAGAAAGAAGTAGAAAATCTATAAGGAGCAGATAGGAATAACAAGGTGGCCTTGGTTGGTTACATTTTTAACTCGCTTCATGTTTCCTGGCTCTTCTGCATTGGCTTCCTCCATTATTCAGCCCTTATCACTTCTTAATGGTTGGTGCAGCCAAGCAGGGCTGAGATGCCTGGTGTCAGTATCAACTATGTCACTCGTGCTGTATATAAGCCCTGTGGAACAGAATGACCAAACTGGGAGTGTGTGGTGGAGAAAAGAGAGAGAGATGCATAAATTCTGCTGTGAGCCAAGGTGCCAGGGAAGCATATGAGGGAGAAGGAATGAGTAGGAGCTGGAGGACCCTAGGATCTGGGAGAGGTGGCCCAGCTGGAGGAATGGAGTAAATACCAGGTTGTACCCAGAGGAAGTTAAGAAGTAAGAAGAAGGGGGAAGAGAAGAAAAGCCTGGGAAACTACATTCCAGGATGAAGTAACAATGCTGAGAGCCTGGAGGAGATACCTCAAAGGGTCTCATCCTCTCCGGGGCATGAACCCTCCCAAATACTTTGACCTAACTAATATTTCTCCAAGACTATAGCTGAAGGCCACAGGTTTGCACCAGGAACTGTTTTCATGAGCCTTTGAATAGGGCATGGGGCCCATCCGGTGTATGATTTCATGGGTTAAGGGAACTTGAACTCCTAGATGAAGAAACGCCTACCAATGCAGCTACGCACCTTCCTGAAATGTTAAAAGTCCTAGATAGTTACCTAGAACACTGAGGAGGTCAAGGGACTTGCCTGGGATCACGCAGCTAGAATATGTCAGAGGTGGCGCTTGAACCCAGGTCTTCCTTGGTTTTGAGGCCAGCACTATATTATGCTGCCTCTTGTTGAGTTCTTTTTCAGTTGCATCTGAGTCTTTGTGACTCCATTTGGGGTTTTCTTGGCCAAGATACTGGAATGATGTTGCCATTTCCTTCTCCAGATCATTTTACAGATGAGGAAACTGAGGCCAACCGTTTGTGATTTGTCCAGGGTCACACAGTAAGTGTCTGAGGCCAGATTTGAACTCTGGAAGATGAGTCAGACCTGGCTCTCTCTACACTGTGCCACCTAGTTGCCCATTTCTTCCAGAAATACTCTAAATGTGAGGAAGCACATAGTACTGGATTCAGGAAACCTAGGCTCTGTTGCCCAGTAACTGTATGGGGGAAGGGGGAAAGGGCACAATTGTTTCACCTATCTTGGCCTCAGCCACTCTCACCTGTAAGATGAGGCAGGTTGAACTAACAGCCCCGAAGGTCCATCCTAGCTCTAAGATACTATGGTTCTAGGCAGCCCCAATGGACCTTTAGAACCCATGGAAACATTTGAAAAGACATGGCGCTATTATATGAGTTGATTCTAGAATTGACCCAATGAGTATTAGAAAGTTAAAGGTACCAGCAATATCAGCACTGAAGAGACATGTAGTATGCAAGGGAGGGGATCATTTCTGGCCACATGAGAAGCTGCAGAGGGGCTCTCACCACTTGCCTCTGCTATTTTGTGAATAGTTTATTTGCAAGTTCTCCTTTTTGGCTATCTTTTGATTTATAAAGTGATAGTAGTGCCCACAAGTTCCCCCATACAGCCACCCTTCCCCCACAAAAATCACCTACCCTCAGGGCAGCTAGGTGGCGTAGTGGATTCACTGGCCCTGGGTTCAGAGGAGCCTGAGTTCAAATTTGGCCTCAGACACATAACACTTACTAGCTGTGTGACTCTGGGCAAGTCACAACCCCATTGCCTAACCCCCCCCCAAAAAAAAATCACCTACCCTCATGGTGTCTGTGGCTGCCACATTAACATGCTGGAGGTGACAAGATGTCCTTGTATATGAGAGTTCTGACAGATTCCTTACATCAATCAGCCAGCCCCCCACTTCTGGTCCCCTCACATCCAAGGGCAGGGTGGTCAGGAAAGAGTTTTT